GACGCATCAATTAGTACCATAAAGTACTTGAAGGGTCCATACGGTGAATCTATTGATCCACAAATATCACTCTGAATTCTTTCCAGAAAAGCTGGGGATTCAAATCCAACCTTTGTTGGAGATGGCCTGATTATTAATTTCCCTTGGGAACAGGCAGCACAGGCAAATTCATTCGGACTCAAAATATTTTTCTTTTTCAATGAGTGGCCATCTGAATTTTCGACAATTCGCCTCAACATTACATTGCCAGGATGCCAAAGTCGATCGTGCCAAGTTTTAAATTCCCTAGTAGCCATTTGGTCTACTAGGTAATATGTTTCAATGACACTGACTTTTGAATAATACAAGCCAGAAGAAAATGATGACAATTTTTCTTTCCATTCACAACCTGAGTTATCAGAAGATATTCATTTTCTGCCTCATTCAATGTTTCAATGTGATACCCATTTTTCCGAATATCACTGAAGCTCAGTAAATTTCTTCGAGCTTTGCTCGAGAACAAGGCATTTTCAATTGCCATTTTTGTCCCTTTTGGGAGATATACAGTAGCTTTTCCTAAGCCTTCAATCATTTTCGATGCACCACTGATAGTAACAATTGTGGTCTTTCCAATATTCAGATGGGAGAAATAACTTTTGTTCTTCAGAATGCTGTGAGTCGTAGCACTGTCGATAAGGCAGATATTGTCATCAGCTCCCAAAAATTTGGCATCCATATCTTTTCAAAAAGATAAAAATAATAAAAGACGTGTATTAGTAACATAATCAAAATAGACTTATATTATAGGGGGTAATACAAAAAGGGGGTAGAAAACATCAAAATAACAAAAGAGATACAACGACATTTTATCATTTAACATCATCAGCTATAACAAGCAGATCATCAACATCCAGGTGCGTGATATTTTCATTGATCACAATGTCAAATGTGTCATCGTGGGCAGCGTGGTTTATTTCGGCAGCAATTCTTCACTGTCTTTCTTTTGAGGCCCAATACAGTTCAGCCAAGTGATTGGTTGTGCGACAAAATGGGCCCAATGGCCTTTGATTCCACACTGGGTGCATTCCTCATCATTGTTTCTGTTTCTCCCGGTGTTGAACCTCTGTTGAGGTCTGTACGGCCTTCTGTCGTTATAACGCCGATTTGGCATATATCGGGGCATGTTCTGATAATTATTGTGACTGTATGCGTTTATCCGGCCCCGTCCGCGATTTTGATTTCGATCGCGATCAATTCGCTGATTTCTGATTTGCCCATGACTACGCACCGGATTTGCCGGTTGTATTGTATTTGCCTCTGGGAATGGATTTGCACCTGTCGGCCGAGATTCGTGATTTTTCAACAGCAATTCATTATTTTATTTGGCCAGTAAAAGACAGGTGATCAGCTCAGAATATTTTTGGAAGTCTCTTTCGCGATACTGCTGCTGCAAAACCATGTTAGAGGCATGAAAATTGGAGAAAGTTTTCTCAATCATATCAGATTCAGATATATTTTCGCCACAATGGTGCAGCTGTGATGTTATTTTAAACATGGTAGAATTATATTCTTGGACTGTTTTAAAGTCCTGAAGCCGTAGGCTTTGCCATTCGCTTCGTGCCCTTGGCAACAATGTCAAACTCAAATGATCATATCTTTCTTTCAATCTCTCCCACAATTCAAGTGGGGATTCCAGTGTGACATATTACATTTTCAGTGCCTCATCGATGTGATGACACAAAAAGATCATGGCCTTTGCACGATCTTGGCTCGGGGAGTTTTTATCCCGGGCAATGGTATTTTCCAAGCCCATTGATGCTAGATGCATTTTAATATCGCGAGTCCATGCCATATAATTTTGGCCAGAAACGATGAGATGAAGAAATTTCTATTTGGCAAAGTTAGACATAATAAACAGATAAAATATAAAATATTAACTTGCGCAAATTAAAATACACAATCGTGCTGATAACATATTGTAATATTAGTATAGGGATAGCCAATAGAAATATTAATTATTTCTACCGTTAACCACTATTTTATATATTGTATATATGATATATATATATATGTAATGGGTATATATATATAGATATATGTGTGTGCAGCCGTGTGTGTGTGAATATAATATATATATATATGTAGTATTTATGTATATATAAATATATGTATTACATAATGTATGTATGTGAAAGTGGAGGAGGAAATGCAGTAGGGGGAAAAACAATTACATAGATATTATGTATGTGAAAGTGGAGGAGGAAATGCAGTAGGGGGAAAAGCAATTACATAGACAAAGTAAAAATGAGATGTGTTTTGATTTCATTTTTTTCATAAGTATTTATACACGTGAGTACTCCACAACGAAGTAATTGAAAGCATACATCGCAGATACGTAGCACATTGTGTGTTACATGTACAATAAGCTTTAATTAGTTCTCATTTTTCTATTGAAATTTTCTTCTGTTATACTTATTCTGCCACTTTGTTTTTTTTTTTTTAAAGAATTATACGTTTTTAATCTGATTTTAAAATTTTGAATTTATAATTTTTTTAATTAAAGTAATTAGTTATTTTCACTAATATATTTTTAATTGTTTATTAAATTATGTGATACCCGAGTTTCTCACTACTCATTGGCCAATATATATTTCATATTTTAGGTGCTGGTAAATTAGTTATATGTTAATTGGTGGTAGTTTAAATATACTTCATGAGTTGTATACATTAGGTTACTTGAGTACTAATTGTTTAATTATATGTTCCGTTTATATTATTTATGTGTTAATTTATAATTAGTTGAGTATAATTCATACTTTGAGTGCACTTTATATTATTTATATGTCACTGGTGATGTTAGGTTATTTATTTTACTATTGAATGTTAAATTGTATATAATTTGGTGTACGCTTTACCTGTTTATTAATAAGAAAATATTATCATAATTTATCTGAGATTCTAATAGAAAACAAATAGGTTGGGTAAATTATTTGGATATTAGTGGTGTAAGTTAAATATAGATCACTTAAAATTTTATTGTAGTAATTAAATAAAAAGTAAAATAAATAGAATAAATAATAATAATAATAATAATAATAATAATAATAATAAAATAAATAAAAAAATAAAAATAAAAAGTAAGGCGGTGGGGGTACTAATTCCCACCCACCTCATCCATATCAATTTAATTTCAAGAGGACGGAGAGAAAGGCAAACGCGAAGAAGAAAAGGAAAAAAAAATTACACCGAATTCGTTAAAAGCCTATTTCAGGTATTTTTTTTGTGTTCACGAATTATTGCTATTTTTACTAAGTAGATGAAGTTTTGAGTAGAAATAATTATTTAGTAAATTGGGGTAATATTTGTAATTAATTATTGTTAGATACGATACTGGAATCGGAAAAAGGGCTGTAAGAGTTAGAGTTATTGACGTTTTTGGCGAATTTCAGGTAAATAGAAATTCATTTGCAACTACAATAGATAAATATATTATTTGTGAGTTATTTATGTTTGATTGATAATATGTGAATATCAGAAAACCGTAATATGTGATTAATATTCTGTAATTATGTGGTTTGAGCTTACGAGCTCCGTATATAAATTGGTTTCAGCCTGTAAGCTCTGTATGTGATGTGGTTGAGCCTGTGAACTCTATATTTGATGTTGAAGGAATCCGTGAGCTCCAAAATTGATGTGGTTTGAACCAGTGAGTTCAATAATATCTGTATATTGTGAAATATGTTGTATTGCATTTTCATTAAGCATGCATATCATGCATTGAAATGAAATAAGATGGTATTACTATGTTCGACCGCTGAGTATACACCGAGGGCGGGAGAGGCGACCTGGGAAGAAGCGACCTGGGGAAACCTGGCGTAGGCCACCGTCTATTGTGACTTTACATAGAATGCCACCTGGGAAGAAGCAACCCGGGGAAACCTTACGAGGAAACCCGGTGTAGGCTACCTGGTGTAGTTTGATTTGAATATATGGATACTGAGCTCTTCCGGTGTATAACAGTGTGTCTAGGGGGCCCTGGAGAGTATTTCATAAATAAATTGGTGATTTTAAACGAGAGCACACTCTGCATAGTGAGAATTTTGAGATAAACTTCACATATTGCATAATTTCTAATTACGGAGATTTATAAATCTCACCCAGTTTATGCATTGTAGGTAATCTTGATGATACATGACTTGGTGGACAGATTGGAGTAGCCATGACGTTCTTACAGTCATTTTGAGTTACCGTGTACATAGATGACGACCTGAGGGCAGGACCGTGACTTGTTTTGCTTCCGTTGTTCTACGGAGATTTAGAAGTTGTATGGTGCTGTTATAAATAGTATGTCGATTACGTAATTTTTGATATGGTTTGAGATCCTTTTGGTGAATTTTAACATGTTACTGTTGAGTTATATTATGTTTTGTTGAGAAAAAAAATTTATAGCAGATTAACAAGTTGTCTTATATGTAAGTAATCAAGAGGGATTATAGCATGTGTATCGTTTACTTATATGTGAATTGGCGTTAATAGAATAGTGTAAATGGAGTCGTGTCAAATTATATATTAATATTTTTTAAATTCTCGTATTTATGATAAAGATGACACCGTAGCTACTACGGATTGAGTAAATCTTTAAAAAAATATATGTATATTTTTTTAAAAAAAAGAACACATGGTGTCCTTTTTTTTTTGGATTTTAAATATTTTAAAAATAAACTTATTGTATATTTTAAAGAAAAATATAAAATTGTATTGTAAATATTTTTTTAAAAATAATTAATTAAATAGAACCAATTCCAAAGTAAAAACAAATTTGAAAACAAGCTCCGCAAGACGCTTTTTCGACAATCAAATTTTTTAAAAAAAAAAAAAAAACAAAAAAAAAAAAACAAAAACGCCCCGATCAAAAATTAAAATTAAAATTAAAATTAAAAAGCGCATTTTAGCTAACGCTGCTGCCTTTCCTTTGAAAATGCGACATAAGTATATGCGACGGTGACGTGAAGCCTACGCCCAAAAAAAACCGTCCTATAAATTACACATCACTTTGTCCTGTCTTCCTCCATCAATTTTCATTTCTTTGGTAAACCCTAAAATCGGAAATTGGATTACGCGGTGTAACAGAAATCGACGGTTGAATAGCTCTGACAAAAGGTGATTTTTTGCTGACCATGTGATTCCGAATTGATGGTGGATTTAATTTGTAGTCGGAGAAACATGGAAGAGTATTGTTTATTTTTTTTGTTCCTTTTCTTGGGTGAAGTATGGTAGTTTGCGGATTGATGCTAACGATTCTGTTTCTGATGCAGTGGGAGGAGTGATGGCGGCTGGATCAGATGCGGGAGAGAGCGGAAGTTTTTCATGTGCTAAATGCGGGAAACAAGCTCACCTTCAGTATGTACTGGAAATTTCGTTTGTTATTGTTGATCGGGTGGAGGATTTATGAGAAGTTTTTGTTTTTTTCCAGTTTGAGTAGCTTATCTTTCGAATAACTTGTTCCTTGCAGGTGCCCTAAGTGCGTAGAATTGAAGCTTCCTCGTGAAGGTGCTGCTTTCTGGTTGGTTCCATTCACTGTGTTTTGGAATTTAAATTTTGCTCAACACTGTAAAAGTTCTGAACCCTGAAACTTCTAGTTTTAGAATTACAATTGAAGCTGGATGAAATATGTATTTCTTAGGAGGAAGCTAACAGTTGGGTTGTGTATGATTGTTGTAGGAACATACGGAATGAATTGAAAGTGGAATTTTATAGTTTCAGTCATGGACTTGTAAATGATCAATTAATTGAGATATTTGGGACCTGTGCGTTAATTTAGAAAAATCCCCTGAAATTCTGCAGAGATTTTAGAGATATTCCCACAAAAACTGATGATATACTAATATTTCAATTGCGTAGATTTCTTTCCTTCGTTTATTTTTATGCTTTAGAGTTTGTTGTACATTTCTTATTTGACGAAAGCATTTTTCTTCAAGTTCTCAAGAGTGTTTCAAGGCGTCCTGGAGTACTCATAAATCTGTTCACTTGAAGGCAAAGGTGTCTCACCCTGGAGATAATCCAGGTGAACCGAAAGCAGGTTCAACCAAGGATGGTTGGCTGTATTGCTTGCGGAAGGGACAGTCTAGAACACCTAAGCTTCCTCATTTTGACTGGACTGGGTAAGAACCCTTATCATTTTTGGTTATGCTCTTTTTGTTCCTATCTAAATTTAGAGTTAGTTGATTCTCGGTTATCAGTGGAAACTTTATCCATGGCATTGACACTTGCTGACAGATAAGGAAGCAAAAAGTGCATTTTACTATCAATTTGATGATGTCATGTTTCATTTTATTATTTTTTAAATTGAATTTTTATGGGCCTTTTAAATGTGGCTAACTTAATTGAAGAATTATTAGGATTGGTTGTGCTATATAACCCACTTTCACGGTGCCTGATTATAGCCTTTTATAATCATTTTGCCTATGAAAGCAGTATTTAGATGTGTGTAAGATATGCAGTAATTTAGGGTGTGTTTGTTTGTGGGTTTGGGTTTTTTGTTTGGATTTTTGAATAGTAAAAAGTTGAATTTGAATAGTTGTTTGATGTGATATAAATATATGTTGATTTGATGTTTTAAATGTAAAATAAATTTATAGTATAATATAAAAAAGGAAAAGTAATTGTTTGATTTAATATTTTTAAAGGAAAAAAAGAATTTGAATAGTAAAAGCTTGGGTTAAAACCCTCAAAAAGAACACAACCTTAGTAATTTCTGGTATCAAAAGAAACTTGTCTCTTCTGATGTTTCTGGTTTTATACAGTATTATTTGTACTATGCGATGACTGCTTTGATTTAAAATAGTGACAGGTTTTCAGTTTAGTCACTAATATATGTGTACATATGCACTCTTACTTCCTTTCTTGGACTAGAAATGTTATACTTAATTGGCTCATTGGTTTCCCTTTAACCTATTTCAGATCATTAAGACCCTATCCTATATCAAAGCAACGTCTGGTACCGGGTCACATTGATCTTCCGGACTGGGCAATTGATGTAAGTAAGCTGGATTGATATTCTGCTACTAGAATACTATCCATAGATTTTCTGGATGGGTATAAGTATGATTGTTGGCCATGAGAATGAGATTTTTGTTGATGAATCCTATTGCATGTGTACCTCCTTGGTAATCAGTGACATGGATCGATTTAAATATTTTCAGGGAATTCCGAAAATTGAGCCAAACAGTGATCTCCAACATCATGTTGAGGTATACCAAATTACAACTCTAGTATTTGTCTACTATTTCTTAATGAGGGGCTTGCCTGAATGTTCTTCCCTTTCATGATACACTGATTTGAAGATCAAAACTCCAGAGCAGATTGAGAGGATGCGAGAAACCTGTCGGGTTAGTTTTATTTACTGATTTACAATGAATCTTTTCTCTTGCACATTCTGTGTTCGGATATACTCCAGATCAAATTGATTTTTGAAGGGGAGAATGAATGAGTATACATTCATGAAACTGGTTTCCTCTGTACCTTTAGCTATCTAGGGAAGTTCTGGATGCTGCTGCTCGTGTTATTCGACCTGGGATTACTACTGATGAAATTGATGCAGTAGTTCATGAAGCAACTATTGCTGCTGGTATGAATACTATCCCTCAGATTCCCTATTTTTTGGGTGTGAAGATTGATTTCAATACAAAAGGAACTAGTGTGTCCTTTGAAGTGAATGATTTATGAATTGCCTAACCCTAAACCTGTAATGATTCTATATCTTGAGTATAGGTAAAAACTAGAAATTTTGAATATTCATATATGAGTAACCAAGATTTGAAATTTGAAATTTTAAGTATTAAATTCTAAGGTTTATATATTTGTATGCGCCTCTGGGGAAAAAGAAATAGTGTAATCAAGCATTTCTGCCATTTTCTTATTGCAATTAGTTCACTTTATCTCATTATTAAGAATGACTTGGTTAACTCTAGAACTCAAAGTAACGAACAAATTTTCTTTTAAACTATTTATGCAAGCAATTCTGCGATTTGTATTTGTGTGTAACAATGATAGTCACTTATTTATCTGTGCAGGGGGATATCCGTCTCCTTTAAACTATCATTTTTTCCCAAAGTCTTGTTGCACGTGGGTATATTTATTGAAATTATTTTTCGACGTTCTTCACGATGTATTTTCTAACATCTGCTGAGAAACATACACTTCTAATTTTCAGGTCCGTGAATGAAGTGATCTGCCATGGGATTCCAGATGCAAGGCAAGATTTACCACCTCTCTTGAAAATTACTAATTTTTGTAGCTAAGAATTTTCCTTGGTTCGCCTATTAGTTTAGCAAGTAATGATTCATTTACTTTCTCGTTCGCTCTTCCTGTTGGTGTACGGAAGATGTAATCTTGAAAAGTATTTTATGAATCCCCATTTGTATGCTTTCCGAGTATAAGTTCAATCTTGAAGGTTAAATCACTTGCGTCATGTATTATCAATTAATTTGTGAGGAAAAACCACTCATCCAAAGATCCAACTGACAACTGACTCTATCTGTCAGGAAATTAGAAGACGGGGACATCGTAAATGTTGATATTTCTGTGTACTATAAGGGGGTACATGGTAAGGATCATCGTAATTATTATTATCATTATTCCTTTATCCACTTTGAATTGTAGATTTGACTCGCTGCCATTGCAGGTGACTTGAATGAAACATTTTTTGTGGGTAATGTTGATGAAGCATCTCGGCGGCTGGTCCAATGTACATATGAATGTTTAGAGAAGGCAATCGCAATTGGTAGTCAAGCCTTAGCCGCTTCTATATTGTAGCATCGTCTATAAATTGGGGTTCGACTAATTTATTATATGGCTTTACACTGCCCTCTTCAGTTAAACCCGGTGTGCGTTTTCGGGAAGTTGGAGAGGTTATTAACCGGCATGCTTCTATGTCAGGATTCTCCGTTGTAAGTGTCTCCAATCTCTCTTCATATATATCCTTATTATTTATCTTTCAAGTGCATATTTCTAATCTTTTCGAATCAGGTAAAATCTTATTGCGGCCACGGCATTGGTGAACTCTTTCATTGCGCACCGAATATTCCTCATTATTCAAGTATCCTCATACTATGAAGAGATATATATATATATATATATATTCATTTTTCTTTGAAATAACAATAAATTGATTGAGGCGATTAGTTTCACAATACAATTTTTGTATGATCTCGGATTTGGGCCTTGACGATATCAGGAAATAAAGCTGTTGGCGTAATGAAGGCAGGCCAGACCTTCACCATCGAGCCCATGATTAATTCCGGTAAGCACTCATCCTGCTCGGCTTCAACTGCTGCCTGTCTTTTAGGGTGTGTTTGTTTGTGTGTTTGGATTTTTGGATTTGGATTTTTGAATAGTAAAACTTTGAAATTAAATAGTTGTTTGATATGATATAAATATATATTGATTTTATATTTTGAATGTAAAATAGACTTTTAGTATAATATAAAAAAAGAAAACTAATTGTTTGATTTAATATTTTTATTCAGATAAAATAATTTGAATAGTAAAAATCTTTGTAAAACTCACAAAAGAACATGACTTTAGGGTGTGTTTGTTTGTGGGTTTTATTTTTTGGATTTGGATTTGGATTTTTTTAATAGTAAAAAGTTGGATTTAAATAGTTGTTTGATGTGATATAAACAGAGATTGATATGATATTTCAAATGTAAAATAAATTTGTAGTATAATATAAATTAAAAAAAAGTAATTGTTTGATGTGATATTTTTTGGAAAAAAAAAATTGCATTGTAAATGCATAGTAAAAATCTGTGGTGAAGTTCACAAAAGAACACAATATTAGACTTTTTACGGTCTAAATTCCCATTGATGTTATCAGGTGTGTGGCGCGATCGAATGTGGCCCGACGGGTGGACTGCAGTGACTGCAGACGGAAAACGCAGCGCACAATTCGAGCACACCCTTCTGGTAAAGTGATCTGTTCTCCTCATAACCATTATGCCATGTGCTTCTTCTTCCCTGGTTCTTCGACAACTTTTTAAAACGACACGTTGCTGTGCAGGTGACCGAGACAGGAGTTGAGGTTCTTACAGCTCGGCTGCCGTCATCCCCTGATGTTTTACCTTGGCTAAGCTCCTCGTAACTGAGCTGACGATCGATCTGAGGTAGTGTCCGAATATCATATCAAGTTCTTATTTGTTCATCAAATTTTGAATCCAAGATTTTTTACCTATATTATATACTTGTGTATTTTAGATTGTTTTTTTTTGCTCTACATTTTGAGATATGAGAAGATTTTGTATCGGAGAAATGAGTTTGTTGTGATGACTTCCTTATTTCATTATAAAAATTTATTGTATATTCGCTTGTGTATAATTATTATAGAAGAAAGTTGGTGTGTTTTTTGGAAATATGATTTTATTTATTTATTTTATTTTATTTTTAGTTTGAGTGGTTATTTTAATGTAGTGTTTTATAATAGAAAAGGTTACATAAAATTCCAATTAATCAATTATTATATTATTGAAAAAAAATTAAATCAAATTTTAAAAGAATATGAGGTCATTTCCAACGGGGCTGCACCGTAAATGGAGTTCTTAGTCTCCAATTGGGCGCCATTTTTGACACAAAAAATGGTGTTTGCACTGTAGCAACGCTATTTTTATGGTGTTGTGTTTTTTTTTAAGAAAAATTTGTATATTTATTTATTTTTTTAAAAAAAAAAATTTAAAAAGAAAATATTAATTATAGATATAAAAAGTGGTTTAAAATAATATTCCCTCCGTTTTTGTCTGTTTCATATACCATGTCACTTTTCTTTTTTTGAAAAATGATTATACATTTTAATCTCATTTTAAATTTTTTAATTTTATTTTTTAAAAATTTTAATTAAACTAATTAGTTATCTTAATCTTAATTTATAATTATTTATATTATAAGATAATTATTTTCATACATTCTTAATTATCTACTAATTACACCCCTCCTAAAATACCGTGTCTACAGTGTAACAGACACGGTATCTGGGACGGAGGGAGTATGTAAGATGAAATATTTGAAGAAGAATATTAGTTTTGGAGTAAAAAATAGAGTTGTGGGTTGGAGTAAAATTATTGTAACAACTGCATTTTTAGAGTTATAGCGGCATAAATGGAGTTGTCCGATTGAAAATGGCCAAAAGCATAGAACTATCTCCTTTGATATGATTTATAGGGGGTTTGGGTGATGTGTTGAATCATATATGCTTCCTTAATACATTGTTGTGTTTGTTCGTATTTAAATTGGAATAGTTATATCGTGCAATAGAAATTGGTATTGATATGATATTTTGAATGTAAAATTAATTTTAAATACTATAATATGAAAAATAAAAATAAATATTTTATTTGATATTTTTAGAAGAGTAAAAATTTAATGAATAATAAAGCCTGAGAAAAATCCTTTGAACAAACACACCAATTTACTCATTTTTTATAGTTTGTTTTTTAAATTTATTTCATTACTTTCTTCGTTAGCTAATTTTATACCTACTTGCATTGTAATACAAATAAAGTGGACATAAAATTGACACTGATTATTAATTTTACAAAAGAATTGACAAACAAAGGAGTATTGATTTTGGTAAAAATAAATATTCTTTATATTTTTTAATAAATTATCCATTTTTTCTGTTTATTTTATAGTAACTATATAATACTGCAAACTCTTGCAATTTACAGTATATTATACAAATGTCATTATTTTTATATATTAATATAATATTAATATACGTCAAATTTGTCTAAAAAGTTAATGGATATTTTGTTAAGGGGTACATTTTATCTAACTATTATATTCCATTTGTAAGAATATTCTCAAGTATTTTTGTAATAAAATATTTATTTATTTTTTCTTTTGCATCCAACCTAAATAGCTGTGATGGACTAATGGGCAAGGACGTAAGGTGGGCATGGATCTGATTATTAAACAATGGTGTGGGTGGATTATATAATTTAATTGTATTACTAATTAAATATCCATTTATTTTTTTGCACATAGTTTTAAAAATATTAGTATTATATTAGAATATATTAGGAATAAAGCAGAAATGACTAAAATAACCTTATTAGTATGTACGATATAAAGGTAATGACATTTGTGTAATATATTGTAAGTTGTAAGGGTATTTGTAATGTTAGGTAGATAGTACAGTTACTAAAAATGAAAATGGATACTTTGTTATGGGACGGACTAAAATGTAAAAATTGATACTTTGTTAAGGGACAGATGGAGTATTATATTAAATGAGACAGAATGATTACTTTGTAAAAAATATATTCCTTCCGTACCTTTTTTACCCTTTTAAAGTAATTTTTATCTATTTTAATAAAAATAAATATACATTAATATTAAAATTTATTTATTTTATATCTTGATTACAAATATAATACTCTCTCAGTCCTATAATAATGTATCCATTTACTTTTTGCGTTATTGTACTTAACGTTAAAAATATCCTTATATTTGTATAATTTTTTATACAAATGTCATTATATTAGTATTATAAGACACTAATAGAAATATTTTTACAATTTTTCCTTGATTTGTAATACGTTTTGATATAACAATTAATATTCAAATATCAACGTGCAAAAAGTAAATGGATATTTAGTTATGGGACAGAGGGAGTATTACATATACAATTACTTTATTCGTAAAATTAAATGATAAAAATATTAAAACTTCTTGTACACGTCCATTAACTAACAAATACTTATTATTCTTAATTTACTACAAAACTCCAAAAGACTCTTTGGGAGTGGGACTCAGGAATATATATTTAACAAAAATGATAAACTATACATGTATATATATATATATATGAAGATTTTGAATACGACCGTGTATATTAAAATACGCATGTGTTATAACACAGCCGTATACATACATACAACCATGTACCGATGTTGTTAGAATACAACCATTTCCCTTTTATCTATAATTTTATTTTATTATTTTAATCAAAACTCCAAACAAACACACTCTTATTTTAGTTTTAGAATAAATTTAAATTTTAAGATAAATTTAAAAAGTTATATTTATTCTAGTCATAATATTTCTTTGGGTGTGATTTGAAAAAAAAAATTGATTTAACTTTTTTTTATATAAATAATATTTAAAAAAATATATAATAATAAATATTTTTTTAACAATCGAAAATTAAGACAAATAGCATTAAAAACACACAAAAAAAATCTAAAAACAATCAAATATTGATCCATAAGAATAAAATAAATAAATAAATAATATATTTTTATTATATAAATATACATATATTAGGTATAATAATTTAAAAAAATTATTTGGAGCAGACTAATTGAATTTTATATTTAAAATTATTTAAGTAAATAAATAATATATTTTCATTATATAAATGTGCATATATATATTAGTTATAATAATTTTAAAAAATATCCGGGTTCGGATTCGAGTCCAGGTTGAGACGAGTTTTTAGTAAAACTCGTAACCCGCTCCGAACCCGACCGTGTTTAAAATTTTAAATTCATAATCCGCCCCGAAACATATTATTTAGATCCGAACCCGCCCCACTAAGAGCGGGTCCGGGGCAGATCCGGGGCTAATCCGCCCCATTTGACATCCGTAAGTATTATCAGCATTTATAAGTACTATTTCAGTAATTAATTATAATTATTATATTAATAATATAAACTAATGATACAAATTAAATATTAATTTTTTAAGGTATTCATTATCAATGCTGAAATATTATAATCAGCATAGTATCCTTAGCCAAGTAAAATATAATGCAATTATATTATAACCAAAGGCGTTTTTCATTGTATACGGTTGTATTTTGACCATATCAGCTGTCATATCGATTATGTTACGTACATAACAATTTTTGTTGATTTTTAAATGGTAAAATCAAAATTAATAAAATTATTTATAATGTAACTAACATTAATATATTTTTGGTTATATTCGAACTATTATTGATTTTTTCTTTATAATTTTTTAATCACTAAATGATATAAAATGAACATAATTTGTTTGTGGAGATATAAAGAATTCTGAAGACGAACAAGCACTAGATAGTCTGGGTTGAAGGTATTATGGGATTGTTACATAGGGTCTGTATATTTAATACTCCGACTAATTTATATTGTCCTAAAATATATTTGCATAACTTTTTAGGTGATTATTTTTTTTTATAAATGGACAAATTTACCCTAAAATATATAATAGAGATTAAAACTAATGAATGAATGAAGGGTAAAAATATAAAATTTTTGTTTAAAAAATAAAATAGGACAAAGTAGGACACAGATGGAGTAATATTTTTTATATTTTATTATCACATAATTTATAGGGTTTTTATAACCTTTTTTTATTACTACCGATACATCTAAAAATATTAAATTACCCTTATTTACTATTTTGTTCTTTTCCCTAATTTTATAACTAAACTTTCATTTTACATTTTTATTTTTTAGGAACAAAATAAAAGCAACAAACGGTAATATCAACCACTGAAAAATACTACTAGAGATGGAAACTAAGGATGAGCATTTGAATTTTCGATTCGGATTTTGCCAAATCCAAATCAATATGAAAATCCGAGTTTTCTTAAAAATCTAATTTCAAATCCGAAAATTCAAAATAGAAAATCCGAACCAAATCGAAGTATCTGAAATAATTCAAATTTTATTATTTTTACATATCGAGATATTTTAGATATTCAGTTTTAGATTTAGTAGATTTATATTTAGATCAATATATTAGATTACTTAGATTTGAGTTTATCGAGTCTGTGTTTTTTATTGTCTGTATATAGGCCCCTTATTTTGATGATCAATAACACAATTACATTGTTTTTCCCCAAAATTTCTAACATGATATCAGAATCTATTTTTTTCATGTCGTAGATATAGCCTATCAATTTGCGTTTCTCCGGGTACATTCAACCTGAATTGTACCCGGAGGTCTTGTGATTTGAGATCATGCTATCTGTCATGTCATATGTCTGTAGCCTGAGTGCGATGCCATCTGTCCATTTCTTCTCTATTGTCTGCGTGCGATCTGAAACCTATATGCGATATGTCATCTCTCCGCTGCTTGTCTGTTGCAATCTAAAATCTATCATGCGTGTGATCTGAAATATGTCGGCGATTTACTATCTTTTTGTTGCCTTTGTGCGATTTGAAACCTATTTGCGATCTGCTATTTGTCTGTTGCCTGTTTGCGATCTAACATATGTCCGTTGTTGGTCTGTTGCCTGTGCAATCTGCCATTTGTCCGTGTTTGTCTGCTGTTTGTGTGCGATCTGTTTGGTGTTTGCGATCTAACTGTTTTCGGTTCCGGTGGAGTCATCTTATTTTCGACTCTGGTGAGTCATCTCGTTTTCGACTTCGGTGGAGTTATCTCGTTTTCGGCTCCGATAGAAAGTCATATCATTTTCGGCTCTAATGGAGTCATGTCGTTTTCGGCTCCGGTTGAGAGTCATGTCTTTTTTGGCTCCGGTTGAGAGTTATCTCGTTTTCGACTCCGGTAGAGTCATCTCGTTTTCGGCTCCGGTGGAGAGTTATCTTATTTTCGGCTTCGGTGGAGAGTTATTTCATTTTCGGCTTCGGTGTAGTCATTTTTGTTTTCGGCTCTGGTGGAGTCATTTCGTTTTCGACTCTAGTGGAGAGTCATCTCGTTTTCGACTCCAGTGGAGTCGTGTCGTTCTCGGCTTCGGTGGAGAGTCATCTCGTTTATAACTCCGGTGGAGAGTCATCTCGTTTTCGGCTCCAGTGGAGAGTCATCTCGTTTTCGCTTCGGTGGAGAGTCATCTCGTTTATGACTCCGGTGGAAAATCATCTCGTTTTCGGCTCTGGTGGCGAGTCATCTCGTTTATAACTCCGGTGGAAAGTCATTTTGTTTTCGGCTCCGGTGGATAGTCCGCTGTTATTTTTATTTATATTTTCTGCGTTTATATTCAACTTTCTTGTCCAAGATATTTTAGATATTCAGTTTTAGATTTAGTAGATTTATATTTAGATTTTATCTTATTAATAAATTATATTACATATATTTGAATTTATGTTGTATTACCTATGTATAAACCCCTTATTTGGATTATCAATAACACAATTATATTATTTTTTCCTAAAATTTCAAACATTATAAATTTTATTTTATGTTTTTTATAATTTTTTATGATATTTAATATATATAATAAATAAAAATAAATATATTAAAATATAATTAATAATTTTTAAGTTTTTATTTCGATTAAAATATTAAATATATAATAATAAAATACTCCATCCGTTCCAGTGCATAGTTGTAGTTTATTTTTTGTACATAAATTTTTTAATATTTGTATTATAATGGGGTTTAGTGAAAATGATGAAAATGCCTGTAAAATATAAAAGCAATGACAGTTATGTAATATAGTGTAAGTTGGAAGAATATTTATTACGTTAGATAGGTAGTACAATTACTAAATTAAGAAAAATAATTTTATTTCAAGAAGGGACGAAAATGGAAAATAATAACCTTTCAATAAGACGGAGGGAGTATTATTATTTTCGGTTTTGGTTCGATTGCGCTTCCGGTTCAAACCTGAACCGTCGGTTTGAAATCGGTTTAGGATCTGATCTTTACAGCGTACCGACCATTGCCATTCGCTACGGTAACGGTCCGATCGAGTGGGTGAGCGAGTCTATACATACTGCGACTGGGTGCCTAAGCCCATCACTTTCCTCGTGAATCGATCCCTCCCTCCCAACGTTAGCGCCAAAAATAGCAACTGGAACTGGAATTGGAATCTCTCCTGCGTCACTTCATCCTCATCCTTCCATCGCCGCCGGTAAGTCTTGCTTCTGAAAATTCGTTGGACATTTTTCCCGACTGTTGTTGTGTTTCAGGTATACAAGTTGTTGCGTTTGTGTCAGCCTGCCGATCATTTTGGAAATTCCTTTTGTCTGCTGCGTTTATTCGAATGACGTTGTTTTTGTATGTGTTGGTTGAAACGAGTGTCGCCGCTGTAAGTTTTTGAGAAACTGTAGGATGCGAATCTGGATTGAAATTCCTATTGTTCGTCCGTACCCCTTTCTTCGTCCTTTTTGCTTTTCTGGAGTGTAGAAAATTGGGAAGTGTTTTCTCCTGTGGTATATATATTGTGGAATCTGATATGTTTTTTTCGTTTTTTTTGGGAAGGAAGATTCAGTTTATAGTTTATTTGGAGGTATATTTGTTTGGGATAATGGAGCTAAGTTGCGTATTTTACCATAAAAGAAGTTGAAGGAGATGACAGAATTCCGATGGGTGAATGAATATGTATAGTCTGAGGTTCAACTTAACTGCTAGACAAAAGTTGTTACGCAATTCATTCTCTTTGAGCAAGAACTGGTGATAACATGGAATTCCTGTATTCGTGTACAAATTTCTAATGGAATTTAGATTCTTTGGGTAAAAGGCAGGTATTACATTCATGTAATTATTCTTATTTACTGTGTTATGTCTACTGTTCTTGGTTGGGCAGGGATTTGAAGTTCAGAATCAGAGAAAATGAAGGGCATTGGAAAGATGGGAATTCATTACTTGCAGAGACTAAATGCTGCTAATATTCCCAAGGACTTGATTGAGAAAGGTCAAAATCGTGTAATTGAGGCATCCCTGACTCTTATCCGTGAGCGTGCAAAGCTCAAGGTATTACATTTTTCCTGCTGCATTCTTTCATACATTTTGTTTAATGCTCTTGGCTAACTGCAAAAGTCGCATAATGGTTGGAATAAATGATACTTTGGTCAGTAATTTAGAGTTTACATGTTGCTCTTCTAGAAGAATTAGGATGTGTTGACATTGTTAATGGAATCATTTCCTTGGTAATGTGAGTTATGGTTCCGTAGGTCTATCTTTTTTCTTTATAAGAGGATTTCAGTATACGTTAATCACTAGTTGGATGACAAAATAGCGATACAGATGCCCTTGCATGACTTGAAATTTACTGTCTTTCCATGCTTCCTGGCAAGAAAATTCCCAGCAACACAAGTTACTAGCCAATCAGCTGTGTGTTCATTTGATATCTGTACGCTAAAGCTCCTTATGGGAATTTTTTAGGGGACATCGCTATCCTCGCAATTCTAACTTGTCCATTTTCGTGACAAGTGGTTGTTTTGGTTTGATATTGTTCAGCTTTGTGATTGCTCTACAACAGGGGGAATTATTGCGAGCCTTGGGGGGTGTAGTGGCATCATCATCTCTTCTTGGAGTTCCGCTAGGGCACAACTCCTCATTTCTCCAGGGCCCTGCTTTTGCACCTCCTCGAATCAGAGAGGCCATCTGGTGTGGAAGCACAAATTCTTCCACAGAAGAAGGTATATATTTTTACTTTATCATTATCATTTGTCATATTCACACAGGTGAAAAATAGCTTACAAAACCAAATTATATGGAAGTCAGGAATATAGAATATCATCGTTTATACATTTACATTTTGAGTGAAGGACATTTTTAAGCTAATGTTCTGATATCACTGGAGACTGATTAGTAGTTGCTTATAATTTCATTTTATGGTGCATCTGCTATTCATTTATGTAACATTTATTATTTCAAATCTGAATACGTCTTTTCGTCCAATTTTATGGTGCGAAGAACTCCTTCTCCCTGTTACATTTTTGCCACTCTTGACCATATCATCAATTATATATGTCTGTGCCCTTATATTGTAACATATTGATGAGATTCTCTCTCTCTCTCTCTCTCACACGTGCGATGACACAATGTTCACACAGACATCTACATGTAAACATGACTTTGCATATGCTTCTTGATCAACGATTAATAGTCTTGGTGCAAAGCAATTTAACAAAAGAGTTTTCTCTGATTACATTTTTCTTTCGGAAATCTTCTTTTGATTCCTTATCCTATAGTAGTTGTAAATTATGTTGAATGCTGGACAATTCTTGTTCATGACAGTCCTGAGGCTTTGCAGGCAAGGATCTTAATGATCCACGGGTCCTAACTGATGTTGGTGATGTGCCGGTTCAGGAGCTACGGGATTGTGGGATAGATGATGACAGATTGATGAATATCATAAGTGAATCCGTGAAGCTAGTGATGGAAGAAGTAAGCTTCCATTTCCAACCATGCATTTCGTAAATCCTTCTGTATTCACTTCGATTCAGCTGTGCGCACTTATATACACACACACAGATGTATACTTGCTGTTTTAACTAAAATTTCAGGAGCCACTGCGACCTTTGGTGCTGGGAGGCGATCACTCTATTTCATATCCTGTGGTTAGAGCAGTTTCAGAGAAACTAGGAGGACCTGTAGATGTTCTTCACTTTGATGCCCATCCTGACATTTACGACGCTTTTGAAGGAAACAAATATTCCCACGCCTCATCTTTTGCCAGGATAATGGAGGGTGGTTATGCCCGGCGACTATTGCAGGTGATCATATTTCCATTTGATGCCATTTCCTAGTCTTGGTAGTTCTATTCATTTCTTATATTGCGATTCCTTTTCCCAAACATATATTTTTCTCTTACCAAAATATTTTTTTACTATTCTCAAATTTTCAAAACTCCCAAAAAAATCTTGTCTAAACAGAGCCTAAAAGTTTGAAGCAACCCATTGGATTCTTTAGGGTGTGTTTGTTTGAGGGTTTGAATTTTGAGTTGAGATTTGAATAGTTAAAATTTTAAGTTGGTATAATTGTATGATATGATATAAATAAGTGTTGATGTGATGTTTTGAATGTAAAATTGATTTTTAGTACTCCCTCCGTTTGCCTATTAGTATTATAAAACACCAAGTATTTTTGCAATTTTTTCTTAATTTGTATTACGTTTTAATAAAATCATTAGTATTCAAAGATCAATGCAACACAAAAAGTAAATAGGACTTTAGAGCTGGACGAAGGTAATATAATCCTATAAAAAAATAGGTATTTGATTGGATGTATTTGGAGAAAAAAATGGATGAATAATAGAAATCTTGACAAATCCCAAGGTGTGTTTGTTTGGGGATTTGGATTTTGAGTTGAGATTTGAATAGTAAAAAATTTTGAATTAAAATAATTGTATGATATAATATAAATAGGTGTTGACGTGATATTTTGAATTTAAAATTAATTTTTAGTATAATATAAAAAAATGAAAAATAGGCGTTTGATTTGATATTTTTGGGAAAAACAATTGGATGAATAGTGGGTAAAATCCCCCAAACAAACACACCCCTAGCAGATGAATTGATCGGGTATTACTTGAATGTTGGAGGCAATATGCAACTTTTATTCGAATTTCTGAACTCTTCGATTCATTTATATCTCATAGTAGAAATCGATTGGTACTGTAATGCTACTACTTTGTGCAGGTTGGAATAAGATCAATAACAAAGGAGGGGCGCGAACAAGGGAAGAGATTCGGTGTGGAACAATATGAAATGCGCACATTTTCGCAGGATCGGGAGCTACTAGAGAATCTGGTATGTCTGTCTCTGTACATTCATTTGCCTAATATTCTAGTATAGCATATATATATATATATACACACGGCGGCTACAGTGCTGAATTTTAAATTCAGCATTGTGCTGAACAGCACATCGTGTGCTATTAGACGACACATAATATTACTACAAACAACACAATGTATATGTTAATATAATACAAATACAATACATGAACAAAACACATATGCTATGGTCTCAACAACACACAATATTACTACATACAATACACAATATTACTACAGATAACACATTGTATATGTTAATATAATTCAAATTTAGCACATGAACTAACATCACATGCTATATAGTCTTATACATCAAACACAACCGTTGATTTTAGCACATGTCATATTTGTATACAACACACTTGTTATTATTAAAAAATCAGCACATATCTTTATTATACATAGCATGTGCTGTGTATAATACTTATGCGTGTCGTTTGCATATATGACGTGTGCTGATGTAGAAACTCAGCATTATACTAATACTAATAGTACTAATACAGAAACTCGGGGAAGGCGCAAAAGGGGTATACATCTCAGTAGACGTGGACTGCCTGGACCCGGCATTTGCTCCCGGGGTATCCCACATAGAGCCAGGGGGGCTGTCGTTCCGCGATGTCCTAAACATACTCCACAACCTGAAAGGGGAGGTGGTGGCAGCCGACGTGGTGGAGTTCAACCCGCAGCGCGACACCGTGGACGGGATGACGGCCATGGTTGCTGCCAAGCTCGTCAGAGAACTCACTGCAAAGATTTCCAAATGAAAGAATCTTGGAGCTGGAGGGATGGATGCTTAGGACCTGTGCTGTAAGTCTGTCTCTTTTTCCTTTACAATATAACTAAAATGGTTCTATCTCAAATGCATCCATTACTGCAAAAAATTTTAGTCTATTAGTCTAACTTATCACATCACAAGAAGAGCTTGTGCCGGAACTATAAGATTTAGAGGGTGTTTGACGAACGGTGATCTTTTTTTTAGAAAAAGTTTTTAGCTTATTGAATCGTTTTAACCGTTTTGATAAGTTAGGTTTTTAAAATAGTTCATTAGGTTATAAAAATTTCATTTTAAAGAGCTTTCTTTTAACTTTTAACTTTTATTTTTATTGGCGTTACAAATTTAGTATTATTTACTTCATTATATATATATTTTGTATTGCAGCAGTTATTAATTATTTTAATATATTTTACTTACTAAATTATAATTTTGTTTTTATAAATTTAAAATAATTTTTATATATAATTTATTTTATTTGTAGAATATAATAAATTTATTATAATTAAATCGAAATAGAATATATAAATATTATTAATTAATATTTATATAATTTTATATTAAAAATAAATAAAATAAAATAAATTTATTAAAAATTATAAATATAATGAAATAATAAATTGATCGATAATTAACATAATAAATATATATATATATATAAATTTTATTATTTTATATTTACACAATTCTTAATACTTTTTTGGTCTCATAAAAAAGGTTTTATTTTTCATTTTCGTCCGTATCAAAATAAGGATATTATTTTTTAATTTAGTAATTTAACTACCTACCTAATATAATAAATACTCTTCCTACTTACAATATATTATACAAATCTTACCACCTTTATATTAATATAACATCAATAAGGGTATTTTTGTCTTTTTCACTGCAATTCAATATAATACTAATTTAAAACCAGTGGAAGTATAAAATATTCATATTTTTTTATAAAAATATTTTTCTAAAATCTAATACTCCGTTTGTCCTATATCTATATATCCATTTGTTTTTTTTGCACGAAGTTTTAGAAATATTAGTATTATATTTAAATTAACTTTATTAGTATTGTATGATATAAAAGTAATGACATTTGTGTAATATATTGTAAATTGGAAGGATATTTGTAATGTTAGGTAGATAATACAATTACTAAAAAAAAAAAAAATGGATACTTTGTTATGGGACGGAGGGAGTACTACTTTCGTCCAGTTATTTTTTGCGTGTTGATTTTTTAATATTAATTAAACGTAGTACAAATAAAAAAATGACAAAAATATTTCTATTAATGTCTTATAATACTAAAGACATTTTGTACAATATATATACAAATATAAAGATATTTTTAACATTAAATAAAACAAATATTTTATAATATTTTTCACAATTTCAAATAACTAATAGAAAAAATTTGCAAATTTTCTAGATTCATAAAAACATAATTGAATTAAAAAATAAAATAAAATATAAATATCAGTAATTGTTATTTTACATTTAAACAATTAATATCAAACCATTGTTCCGTAAGGGATGACTTAGTGGTGTGAAAGTAGAATCGTGACCGTGAAGTCATAGATATTTCGGTAGCGACTGCGGGTTTCTACGTCCTAAAAAATATATATATATATATTAAACCATTATTTTACAAAATATTTTAATACAAACAACTAATTTAATCAGTTAACTTGTAATAACTATCAATTCATTGTCAAGCACCCCTTTGACCTTCTACACTATTAATAAGTGTGTGCATGAGTGAATTTTAATTTGAACTGATAAAAGTCTTTTGTTCATTGATGTTTGAATGAGATATTTGAGTTTGTTTTTTCAAATAAAATAATAAAAGAAAATCAACACGATTTTCACTATATATATGTATTATTATCTTACAAAAATTAATATTAAATATAAAATATTATTTTTATACTATCGACACGATTCTTTAAAGATAAACCATTCTCATGTTTGGATCTGCCCCGATGCTAAATTGACAAACCAAAAAAATGTCGTTCTGGTCAAAAATAAATAAAACAACTGTAGTTTATAAAAATAATTGTTATCAATTTCTCCCAACTGAGTCGTAAAGCGGCCCACGTACTCTATGGTGGATGCATCATCTTCTCCCGAAAATGCATAATTTGTTTGATAATTTTTTGAAAGATGATGTTTATTGATGATCCTTTCCGATAATGATTGTTGATATGAGCGTTGGTGGCAATTTAAGGATTAATGCCAAAATAGACTCTTAAAACGTGTGCGACATCCCTCTGGATCCAGCCTATGTGGTTGGTGATCAGGAACAAGGATGAGATCATGCGTTTGACCTCCTGGTCGTTCATCTTGTTGGAAATTTATTTGAAAAGGATCAAGTCTTGCGCCTAACGAAATATTTTTAGAATATGTGAGGGGGGTTTTCCCCTTTCCACCCTACCAGGGGCGGTAGCACTTTGGATAGTGTTGTCCTAGAAGGGTGATCTCGTAAAATTTGTCTGTAGTCATAGGGATTAGGGAGACATCCCTGGTGGTGAAGGTACAAAATGCAAAGTGACCTTAAATAGAGTCTGATCTAAGCGTATTTTGCATTAAATTTTGTTAATTGTGCAATATTACTTGCATAGTTGATGTTTGTCGGTTGTTCATTTCTTAAATATATGTTAATTATTCGGATGGTACTTGAGACGTACCCCCTATAGTCGGGATGGTCAATGAAGATGTTATGGTGGCTCTGACGATTGTGTTGAAGTTTGAGACTAAAAACCCGCCATAAGGTTCTTTTCAATGATTCGACCGAATCGGAGTTGAATTAAATTCTCTTAGATAAGCAATTTTGCCTAACTCTCATTTTGTTACTAAGTGAAAGTGAAAGTCATACTATTACTATCTAAATAATACTTTATATTTTATATTTTATATTTAATGTTACTTTATTTTTTATATTTAACATTGCAAAAATATTTATTTTTTAAATATTTAATATTTTAAGTGAAATGGTTTTTCAAAAACATAACTATATTTACTTGTTGTGTCTATAGTAAAAAAAATTAACAATAACGTCAATATTTTCATTAAAATATTATTCTTTCCGTCTCTAAATTAGTTTTGTGTTATTGTTATAAAATATTAATAAAAATACTTTATAATTTTTTATATTATATTTTAATATAATAATTAATATTTAAAAATTAAATAAGATTTCTCGAGACAAAGTAGTATATTTTAGATACTTGAAAAAAAATAAATAAATAACAGTGGAAAGGGAGTATATCTCAATACAATATTCCTGATTATTCTTTCGTCCGCCTCTTCTCAGGCCGCGCCGTGGTCTCTTCTTTCGTGACTTCCTGCTTCAAATGGCGTCTTTGGTATCCAATTTGTCCTCTACGGTGTCCCGCCTGAGCCTTCTTCGCAAATCTTCGCTCCAATTCCGACTCCGAGTCCAAAGTAAATGGAGTAAGCCACGCCCGCCATTTCTCCGCGTTCCAACTAATTATGATTCAGTGCGCTTTTCATCTCGCTCAAAACTCGTGAGCGCCTCACTCCAGGAAGAAGAGTTAACTGTTTTGGGCATCGAGACCAGCTGTGACGACACTGCTGCAGCAGTGGTGAGTGTTCTGCTGATGGATGAGTCTTTGTTATTTATATCACAATTTCTTCGAATTGGTTTTTGCTTGTGAAGATTACTATGGAGTGTTTTTCTTTTTTGATATTTTTTGGAGTTAACAATGAAGTTGTTGTTAAAAGAGCTAGACCGGTGATGATAGGTTCGAAGCAATGGTGAAATTCTCAGCCAAGTGGTGTCTTCTCAGGTATGTCTAAACGTGTTTCGCCTATGCGATAAGTGGTAATTTGGTTCCCATTAACATCTACTCTTCCTATATCTTGATGATCAGAATGCCTTAACTAGATTCTGAGAGTATGGATTTCTTAATACTCAACTTATAATGCTTGAATCTGTTTACATTTGGTATATTCTTATTAAGAATTAAATTAGGAGCTAGGCAGTTTATTTGTTAGGGAGATTTAACCGAGTCCTGTCTTGAATTTTGGCAGCTAACACCTATCCAACATGTTGCAATCTCAAAACTCTAAATATGTAAGATAGTAAGTTTATTCGTTATTTTGTAGACATTTTTCTATATATTGATAAGCCACAGCCCAACTAGATATCCAGCTGATTCAACTGACAATAAAGCTTGAACATTGGTGTAGACTAGTAGTTGGAATCATTCATAAGTTTTAATAAATGTGACTGTGATTACAATGTTGGATGAATGATTTTCAGCCTTAGCATTGCATTCCTTCTTCTTGATGGAGTGTGGCAGTGATAATCCGACTTGAATCGATTTGGTATCACCATTGGTGCTTATTGACTCTTAGTGCTGCACACCCTTTTAGTGTTTCAATTTTATTCGTAATGATATGTTTGCTTAATTTCACCCCCATTAAGGCAGATCTGCTTGAGCGATATGGAGGAGTTGCTCCTAAAATGGCAGAAGAAGCTCATTTGCTGGCGATAGATCAGGTATGGCCTTTCTTACTGCCACTCTACTTCACATTATACAAACTGTTGATGTTATAAGTTCTTATCATATGTTCATATAATAAATTTGTCATTCACGGATGAACAGTGACATCATCTCCTTTTGTCAGTTATTTAGCAGTACTTTCATCTGATGCATTCTCATTTACACTGCATGTTTACTGAATGTTTGTTGTCGAGACACTCTATATTTTAGTCATGTTCATATTCCATGCTTGTTATAGTTTGTTCCTTTTTTGGGTTTATAGTGTCACGATGATACTCATATATATGCACAAATTCAACATCTTCTTTGTGATCTTTCTTTATACGGTGGCAAGACCATCCACGTATTTATACGGTGGTCTTTCTTTATACTCTGCTGCTACATCTGTTGCTCATTGAAGAAGCTCTCTGCCTGTAGGTCGTGCAAGATGCTCTGGATAAAGCTAACATTACTGAGGAAGATCTTTCTGCAGTTGCTGTCACAATTGGTCCTGGGCTAAGCCTATGTCTACGCGGTAATTTTTGTTGTCGATCAATCTGTTTCACCCTTGTTATCTTTCTTGATCGATTAAGTTCTCTAGAGTAAATAAATACGATCTTACCATGCATCCATGATATTGAGAGTGGCCCTTATTCAGTGTTACTTAATTTTATTTTACTTTGGGCAGTTGGTGTGAGTAAAGCTCGGAAACTTGCTGGTACTCATATTTTACCAATTGTCGGTGTTCATCACATGGAAGCTCATGCTTTGGTAGCCCGGTAATTAACCTTTAATGTGTGCGACAGGAAAAGAATGATGCATCTAATCATTTTTATTTGGTAACCTGTAAGGATGATTAACTTTGAATTTCATATCCCGGCCTCAGGTCCTTTTTCAATGTCTCACAGTGATCTTAATAATTCTTCTTATACTCTGCTTAACATATTGGAAATGACTAATATTTAGTTGGTGACAAACGTTTTTCACTACTTATTTATCAGTTCGATTAACAGTTCATATAATATTCTGATTATCAGACCAAAGAATAACATGTTTTTTTTGTCTAGGTTAGTGCAAAGGGACTTACAGTTTCCTTTCATGGCCTTGCTGATCTCAGGTATGATGATATTTGATTTCTTTTCCATGTGCTATTTAATAGACATAAATGTTGAGGAATGTAACCAATTTCATTAGTATATGAAGCTTTTAATTGAACCCTCACGGGCCATGTCTGATACTTGCAATGATGATGTCATATATGGTGATCCAAAGCAACGGCAAATCTTAACTTGTGAACCTGTGTACGTAGGAGGCCATAATCTTCTTATTCTTGCTCGTGATCTTGGCCATTATATTCAACTGGGTACCACGATCGATGATGCAATTGGCGAGGCTTACGACAAGACAGCAAAATGGCTTGGCCTTGACATGAAGAAGAGTGGTGGCCCAGCAGTGGAGGAGCTGGCTCGGGAGGGCGACGAGAACTCCATCAAATTCAAGGCTAGCAGTCCTTCTGAAGTGATTTATTTAGTCCTACTCCATAATAATTTCATTAAATCGAAATTTACTGTTGTGATGTTTCCATAGGTCCCGATGAAACAGCATAAAGACTGCAACTTCTCGTATGCAGGTCTCAAGACTCAAGTGAGGCTGGCAATCGAATCCAAAAAAATGTAATTATACCGGAAGTCTTCAGCTTTTTTCCGTGAAAATTGAAAAATAATATTCTAGACGTATACTCAATTATCATTCTTGTCTTCTAATTGTTACCGTAGCAAAATATATTATGCATGTGTCACAAATTCGCTATTTCAGTATATTGACTGCGCGTGAATTTCTATTCAATTATAGTGACTTGCACTTCATGACATCCTGTCACAATTTTGCATATCACAACGCGCAATCAATGTACTGAAATAGCGAAATTATGACATGCATAAGATATATTTTGCGAGGATGAGAATTAAAACAATGTGATAATTAGACATATGTACGGAATATTTTTTTTGCAACTTTCCCACTTTATTCAATTTGGATTTCACTAATTGCTGACATCTCATTAATCCATACAGTGATGCTGCAACTCCTGTTGCTTCAGCAAGTGTCGAAGACAGAAGGGCCCGGGCCGATATTGCTGCCTCTTTTCAGGTAACCAAATCCATAACGCTATTCATGTTTTCTTTCCTCCTCGATCTTAATGAAGCTTACATATCCCCTTTGCACAGCGAGTCGCGGTATTACATTTAGAAGAGAAATGCAAACGGGCAATCAATTGGGCGTTCAAGATCGAGCCTTCAATAAAACATCTGGTCCGTCCAACATTATTCCAGCTCCATTGTTTCACCAATATTTACTGCAGATGCACTTCTTATCTTCGTAGGTACTTTCAGGAGGCGTCGCATGTAATCAGTACGTGAGGTCACGACTAAATACGATAGCAGAACAGAATCGGCTACAGCTTGTATGTCCTCCTCCCAGCCTTTGCACTGACAATGGTAAGATGAATTCCTATTCCCCATGAATCAGAAATGACTGTAACTGTTAATCTAACCAAAATTTTTACACGGATAGGAGTAATGATCGCTTGGACTGGGATCGAGCACTTCCGTATGGGCCGATACGATCCTCCCCCGCCTGCCTGTGAACCTGCAGATGCTATGGTTCTTTAAGTTCTAGTCTCATTTCTTGGAATCTTTATATCCTGCTCTAGTCTTAATAACTGAATTTTCTTTGTCCCGGTTCAGCTTGATCTTCGACCACGCTGGCCGTTGGGCGAAGAGTATGCCGAAGGAAGAAGCGAAGCTCGTTCGCTGAAAACGGCGCGAGTTCATCCGTCCCTCACCTCTCAAATTCAGGCTTCCATTCATTGTCATCGGCAGCCAGGTGCGTGAGATTATTAATCTTTGTCTTCTTAAATTATGTTTTTAGAAAAGAAATTTACTACATGAAATAATGATGATGATACTTTAGGTGCGTTTGGCCTGCGGTTTTGTAGGCTTTTGTTTAAGTGAAGTAGTGGCTCTACGTAACCTTTTATACTAAAAATGTATATTTTTATTGAAAATAATGAAACTTTATAATAAAGACAAATTTTTTTTTCTTCCACTATGTGATAAAAGTGTTATGGAAGTTTAGTATCTATGATGGCCATCCTTGTTTGAGTTTTGATTTTAAATAGTAAAATTTTCAATCGAAATAGTTGTTTGATGTGATATAAATATCTATTTGATACTATGTTTTGAATTTTAAAAAGTAAAATTTTTTATTAAAATAATATGATATAAATGGATAGTGATATGATGTTTTAAATATAAAAAATATTGATTTTGATAATTTTTAGAACAATTGGTAAATAAAAAAAAATTAAAAATATTTTCGTCTGTCTTACTTCAAATATATATATATTTTTTGTTTTAAAAAAAGTAACGATATATTAATACAAAAATATTTTAACTTTTATTTAAATTATAAATATATTATTATATATAATTATTTTTACATAAAATCAAAAGACAAAACTATCAAAAATTATTACAGAAGTTCATTAATTAATAAAATATTATTACAAATTGTACATAATGAATAATACTTATTAATTTCTGATTGAAATAAAAATAAATAAATAAATAAATCCAATATGTATATGGTTTTATTAGGAATGAGATTATTTATATTTAATAGGAGAGAAAGTAGCAGGTGTGTTTAATTTGTATTTTATATATTTTTTAAATTTTTTTAAAAAATAAAAAAATAATTAGACGTGAGTTTTATATATAAAAAATTTATATTATTTTTATTTAAAATAATTAAATTATATTATAACTATGAAACATTCTTTTTTTATAATGTGAACTTATATTTAAAAACAACTACAGAATTCAATAAACAACTTTGATTTTTAAGACGTAATTAGTTGACCGTTGAATGGTTTCTAGATGAAGAATCCTCTACATGTTTTTCACTTAAAAATAATATTGCATTTGTGAGGAATATTAATACTTTATAAGTAGTATATAGAAATATATTAATTAAAAAAAAAATAGTTTGTTTGTTTAGTTTTTTTTATTTAATTTTTTTATATAAAGTATAAAAAATTGGATCGAAAATATAAAAAGTAATATTTTATGTTGAATATTAACTTTTGTAGAAAAGTAAAATATATATATATTATTATTCATATTTCACGGTTGTCCATAAAATACATAATTTTTTTTTACAAAATGTTAAATCAAAATATTGTTTAATCTCAAATCTAAACCAAATACACTATAAGATATTTGATCAAACTAAATACTACAAACCAATATTTAAATACAAATACACAAATATAAATATAAATATATAAATCAAACACACGTGGGTTTTTTCATTTCTTTAGTTGTACAATTATTGATAAATATTAAAAAAATACTATTTATTATATTAATCAATGAAAGTGTGTAAGGTTGTGTTTTTTTATGAGTTTTTATTTAGATTTATTTTTTCTTCAAAATATCACATCAAAAAATTACTCTCCCAGTCTCATGAAGTTAGTCCAACTTTTTTTTTGCAGACAGTCTAAAAAATATTGTATTAGGTAGTTAATTATTTGAATAATGAATATAATAAAGTGTCATATTAAATATTTTTATTTGATAAAATATTAAATTAAAAGTTAAAATATTTTTTATTTTAATTTTTAAATATTGAATTTTTTATTTACTGATATTATTTAAAAATAATAATAATTATTATATTTATTGTAAATCAATACATGCATTTAGGTAAAAAAAAAAAAATAATTTAAATAATTTAAATGTAATTTATACAATAAAAAATTTAATAAAAAAATTATATAAACAATATGGAAACTTTTTCAAATTTGTATGTTGTTAGAGATAGGTCGCTAAGACATACCAAATTTAATATCACATCGCATATGTATAGTACAAAATTTTTGGTATGATGTTTTACCGTACTTTATAAATATTTTGGTATATCAAATTTGCGAATAAAAAATATTGAATTATAGAAATAACATGCATACTCGTAGAAAAAATATCGAAAAAATTTCAAAATTTCGATACAATATGACTTTTTTTGTATTATAACATATACAATAAGATATTTTCAGTGTATATAAATAATTAAAAAAAATTGATATTTTTGTATATACTGATTATTTGATATAATATCGATATATTTTTTTTTAATAAATTAAAAAATTTGGTACAGTATACAATATATTTAGATATTTTTAGTATACTATCTCAAACCATCTCTAACTGAATTTTATGCACGGTATTAGAATATAATATTTTACATCAAATACCAAAATTAAAAATAAGTTTATAATTTTGCTTTATAAATAAGTTCTAATTTTTATTTTTTTGAACAAACAAAAAAAATCAATATCAAATCTCATTTTTAATTAATTTTTTCTAAATTTACAATTAATAAATAATAAAATTAAAGATATTAGTAAGTTAATAAAATATAGTTAAGTTTTTTAAATTAGAAGTATTACTATAATAGGAAAGTAGACTAATTTCCTGGGATGACTAAAAAATGAAAAGTAGACTAATTTCGTGAGACATGTGGAATATTTTTTTTATATTATATTACAAATTTATTTGATATTCAAAACATCACATCAATTTCTATTAATATCACATCAAACAACTATTCAAATTCAACTTTTTACTATTCAAAAATTCAAACCCACAAATAAACACAAGAGTTTTTAACATTTTTGTCATTTGACTTTATATATAAATAATTATATGTGTACCGATATATTTATAATTTAAATAAAATTTAAAAATATTTTGATATTAGAGGATAATTATTTTTTAAAAAAATAAAAGATACTTTGAATTTTGAGACCGGGTGAGTATCATTTACACAAATGTAGGGAGACTCCTACTTTTTGCATGTAGTTTAATAATAAATATTGTATTTTAACCATATATAGTGATAGTTTTGTATATAAAGATTATTTTACACTTTTGATGTTTAAAATTATTGTGAGAGTATTGATGAAAATAAATATAATATAAAAATATCTGTAATATATAGTGACGTTTATATTTAGGGTGTGTTCCGTTTGATGGATTTTGTTAAAATTCTACTATTCATTCAAAATTTTCCTCCAAAAAACATCAAATCAAATACCTATTTTTTATTTTTTATATTATACTAAAAATTAATTTTACATTCAAAATATCACATCAAACACCTATTTATATCACATCATATAATTATTTAAATTCAAAATTTTTACTATTTAAATCCCAATTCAAAATCCAAATCCCCAAACAAACACACCCTTTCTAAAACAGAAATTGATATTTTTTTGTTTGAATAATAAAAATACCTGAATATATACTTACCATCGGAAAATATGTAAATAAAATATTTATATGTGCACTGATGGTTTTTAGTATTCAATGTTTTTATACTATCATATTTAATATTATGTTTAAGAAAATATTAAAAAAAAAAACTCGATAAAATTACATATAATGTTTATATGTGCATTGATAGTTTTTAGTAATCAATTTATTTTATACTATCATATTTAATATTCATTTAAGAAAATATTAAAAAAAAAACACACAATATACTCAATAAAACACAACAATTAGAAAATTAAAACATATGATTCTCTGTAAATATTATAAAAAAATATATTATATATATTTTAACATAATATACTTCCTCAATTTCATAAGTAAATATTCATTTGTTTTTTGCACGTAGTTTTAAAAATATTTGTATTATATTGGGATATAATAGGAATAAAGTAGAAATGACTAAAATAACTTTATTAGTATGTGTGATATAAATGTAATGACATTTGTGTAATATATTGTAAATTGTAAAGATATTTGTAATGTTAGGTAAAGGAAATTGATACTTTATTATGGGACGGGCTAAAATGAAAAAATTGATACTTTGTTATGGGACAGAAAGAGTATATTATTCTCTTCGCCCCAATTCAAAATATCATTTTTATCATTTTCGTTCATTTCACTTAAAAATATTTATTTCAAATTTTAGTAAAAATAATTATATATTAATACTAAAATTCTTTCATCTTCTATTTAAATTACAAATATATCATTAAACATACAATTAATATATACATAAAATCAAAAAGGCAAAAATATCAAAATTTCTTACACTTCCGTTAAGAATTAATATTTCTTAATCTACTACAAAATTTCAAATGAATGATTTGAAATGAGATTGAGGTAGTATAATACTATATATTTTATTCACTTATAAAAGTTAACAATTCAACCTAAAAGATTGCTCCCTCTGTCCTAAATTAAAATATTTTTTTTATCATTTTCGTCAGTCTCACTCAAAAGTATTCATCTTTTATTTAGAAAAAAATTAATCATATATTAATACTCAAATACCATTAACTTTTACTTAAATTATAAATATACTATTACACATACAATTACTTTATACATGTTGAGATATTTTAGTTATTTAATTTTTATGGAAACGGTTGATTTGGTGATTGAAAATCGCCATATATATATTTTTTTAATTGAAAACCGCCAAAAAAAATTATAATTACCGCCGGTATTTTTTTCTAGGCGGGATCAAATGCTATATATCGGAGTTTCTTGTGTTGTTCTCACACGGTATTCATCATTGTTACTTCGGTACCTTTTCTACAGTTAAAAAAAAATGTGATAAATTAAGATTGATTCGCAAGAATTTTTATTCATTACAAGAAACTCCAGCCGTATCTAATTTCCTAAGTATTGAGGTTTCTTGGAAGGTTCGATCAAGATTTTACTGCAAGAAAGCATGAAAACCGAGAATGAAAATAGTAATTTCAAGAAACCAAGATATTTTTGGACCGATGATCGCCATAAGAGGTTCCTTAAAACAATCGAAAAGATAGGAGGATTTAACAAAGCTACTTCGACGAAAATTTATGAATTGATGGGAGACCCTTCGATCGCAATGGCGAATATTTCTAGTCATCTCCGTAAATACATATTAAGCATGCAAAAGAAGAACCATAAAATCTACTCTAATGCTATAGCTCGGGACGTTGTTGGTTGCGGCGACGTTCAATCATCCATAGCACGGCACCATCACAAGGCCCGTTATGCTCAACAAGGGCAAGGCCTACCGACCAGGCAAAATCAAAAAAAATTATTTTTCATTTAACTTAGAGAGTGCCGAGTCACGCCGGAGTTATTTGGTGCAAATTGAATCGATGTTATCGTTTTTTGAACGGTCTTTTAATTGGTCCTTCTCCGACAATCATTTTTGTGCTCTACAACTTGCGTACAATCTGAATAATGATTTTTCGACCAACTTACGTTGGATTCGATTATGTCAGCTATCAATACTCTTTCATTGGATCAGAATTTGGATACGGGAGAATTTCAGAATGATACAAAGCCTTCAGCGATGAATGTTCTTAGAAGGATCAACAGGAACAATAGAATATTGGTCGTCTTCTCTGTACTATATAGTTATGAACTTGATTGGTGCTTGAGAAATCTTCGAAGTCATAAATCTTAATTGTAGTAGTATGTTTTTCATCATTTAATTTTCAAACTTGTGTGGATAACATACGTATTGATGAATAATATACAATTCTTGGATTGAATATGTGACAGGAAATAAATTGTCTTATTGTCAATATATATATATATATATACATATAATAACTAAAAGATGTTAACAATACATAAAATAAAATAAAATATTAAAATCTATTACACGCTTCGACTACTCAATAAAATATTATTATTTTTTAATTTATTACAAAATTTTACATAGTTGTTGGGAATTTTGGCCGTTCGAGGTTGGCCTACTCCGTAGCTCGATCCACCGGATTCGACCCAAACCCTTTAATCCAAACCCATTTATGAAACCCTAAGTCAATTTGTTAGGTTGTTATGTTGGTTATAACCGTATGTGGTTTTTTAGTTTGGGGAAGTTATTAAAGGTTAGTTTACAAAGAGTTTTTGGGTTAGTCGGTTTTGAGAAGTGAGATACACCATAACCGAGTTAGAGAGATTGAGAGTGAGGGAGAGAACCACGAATGGAGTTCCGGTGAGCCGAGCGATTCCGGTGAGTTCCCGGTGAGGTTCGGGACTTTTTTCTTGTACCGATTCCGGTGGGCGTCGAGGCTTGGAGTGACGAGCCGACCTCTAACCTTGAGGCGTGATTACCTCAGGCCACTTTGCACCATGGACTAAGCCGATATCCGCCGTCCCTTCGCCAAAAAGAGAAGAACAAAGAAGATCGGGAAGAACTGTCCGCCAGAGTCCGTCACCGGACGGAGGAAGAAAACCGTTGAGGTGGAGCAGGCTGCCGGAGCTGCCGTCGAGATCTCTCCTGGAGGATGACTGCCGCTGTTCGTCAGGAGAAGACGCTGTCAATCTTGAAGTCGTCGGTAGTCGGAGAAAAGTTGTCGAAATCCATAGTCGTCGTCGGCGGTGGCTTCGATTTCATTTAAAGAGCGGAGCGACGAACATTGAGTGCTTTCATTCTAAATTGCTTTAAATTGATTTACTTCCTATTTGTTTATGTTTGTTTTTTCTAATTCCATATTATGTCTTTTTATTAATGTTTATTTATATTCCGATTTAATTTCGGTAATATAAAGATTTGGTTTATTGGAGTTAATTCGCTTTCGCTATTACTAATTAATTTCGTAGTTTGTTTATAAGGTTTGTTCGATAAATCCAAATGATTCGGGAATAAATTTACAACCGTAGCTGTTTTGAATTAGGACAAAAGAGTATATTTTATATTTGCCAATATGATTCTTCCTACATGTTTTTCAAAATTTTGATATTTTTCACATTTAAAAAAATAAAAAATAAAATCGAAAATCATATCTTGCAAGCCCTTCACAGTTTGGAAATATCTTTTTTATATAAAATTTTTTAATTTCTAAAAATATCTTTTTGTTAGGAAATTGAACAAAATTTGTTCAATTTAATAGAAATTATACAGAAAACCTAAATTTCAAACCCATAAACCCTAAATTCATAGCCCGATCGAGGATGCCTACGACATACAGATCCTTAAAAAGGGTTCTACATTTTACTCAAGAAATTAATGCTTCTATAGAGGAAACCCAAGAAATAGGAACCAAGATCGGTACTAAATAGTACTTCATCCTCCGTCCCAAAATTATAGCCTTAGTTATTTTTTATACGGAATTTAAGAAATATTGATATTATATTAATAGTGGGTAAAAAGTATATGTAAAATTTTTTTTTGCCCTTGTGTAAAAAGTAGTAATTATGTAATAATAATGAAAAAGTAAAGATAGTTTTATAGTGATATAATTATTTATGAAAATGAGACTATTGTTTCGGAACGGACAAAAATGATAAAAAAAATTATATTGTATCAGGACGGGGGGTAATATTTTATTATTTTTAAAAACATTCAAAAATTGTCTTTTTCTTTAGGTATGGTTTGAGAATATTGATTTAGTTTAGATTTAGTATTAAACTAAGCGTATAATAAAATATTTTTTAAAAAAAAATATTTCCTTAAAAAATACAGAATTCAAATAATAAAATTTAAAAATTTTAAATGGTATTTTAGGGTGTTTATTTTGTAGAATAATATTATAGGAATACATATATTATTGTAATAAATTATATAATTATATATTAAAATAATTCGTGAATACTTTTAATTGATTATCGTATAAAATTATTAATTTTATTTAAAATACCTTTAATAATATAATAAAATTTATAATAAATTAGATATTAATGAAAAATAAACTAGTTTTTTAATATTAATAATATTTTAATATTATTTAATACCAATTATAAGAGAAAGATTAATACTCCCTCCGTCCCATAAGTAGATATTCATTTATTTTTTTGCACGTAGTTATAAAAATATTAATATTATATTGAGATATAGTTGAAATAAAGTAGAAATGACTAAAATAACCTTATCAGTATGTGTAATATAAATGTAATGATATTTGTGTAATATATTGTAAGTTGTAAGGGTATTTGTAATGCTAGGTGGATAGTACAGTTACTAACAAAAGAAATGAATATTTTGTTATAGAACATACTAAAATGAAAAAATAGATATTTTATTATGGGACGGAGGGAGTAATACTTTCCCCGTTTCATATCTATATATCCATTTGTTTTTTGTGTTTTAGAAATATTAGTATTATATTGAGATAAAGTAGAAATAAAGGTAAAAAGACTAAATTAACCATATTAGTATTGCATGAAATAAATGTAATGACATTTGTGTAATATATTGTAAATTAGAAGGGTATTTGTAAGGTTAGATAGACAATACAATTACTAAAAAAAAAAATTTATACTTTGTTATGGGACGGACCAAAATAAAAAAATAGATATATTGTTAAGTAACGGACGAAGTACTTAATTATATATTATACGAGACTTTACTTTATCTCAAATTATAATAATGTATAGTAAACATATGATTAGATTGAATAAAATAATATTCGAACTTTAACTTGAAAAAAAAAATTTTACAATATTTTTATTTCAGGCCGCAATTTTATGTTTTAATCTAAAAAATATATTTTCGAATATTCTATGCTATATACTTACTCAATCCGGCTTTAAGATTTCATTTATTTTTTGCGTGTTGATATTTGAATATTAATTATTATATAAAAACATTGTACAAATAAAAAAAAAAAACAAATATACTTATATTGATGTCTTATAATACTATTATAATGACATTTGTGCAAAAAAAACTTATACAACTATAAAAATATTTTTAATGTTAAGTAGAATGATGTAAAAGGTAAATGAGACTTTTAGAGCCGGACAAAAGAAGTATTATTTTAAGCAACTTTTTATATTTACAATTTACCCTAACTTTAAAATAAATAAATAAATAAATAAATAAAATTTTAAAAAAAAATAAAAGAAACGAATACACAATTTTTGTTAAAGAAAAGAAAAGAAAATTTCAACACAAAAAAATTAATGTTGCTACAGTGCAATATCAAAATTTGACATTGAAAATTGTATAGATTTGAGCAAATCGATACTATTTTTTCCATTCATTTTCATTAATAACGTTAAATTGGAGATGATCTTATTATTATTATTATTTTTTTTAAGATATAATATTATTTTTTTTTTATAAAATATTCTATAATATATTTTTTTTATAGGTTAAAAATTTTTAGTTTGAAATATATGGTGAAATATTTTATAAATTTTTTTTTAAAAAAATAAAAAATAAAAAGTCAAATTGTGAAAATATGAAATTTGAAATTAAAGAAACAAATTCGGTGTATTTGGATATATAATTATTTGAAAATTTCCTCATACCTTTTTCATATATTCTTGGGTTTCTAAAACCCAACGACCTGTAAATTACTATTATTATTATTGAATAAAATATTAAACCCTCGCGTACAACATACACATACATATATGTATTGTATGCGTCGTCTTCTTCTTACCAAACTCGATCTCGACATTACCGAAGAAAACCGCAGTGCACAGCCATGGCTTCTGCATCCTTCACGCTCTCCCAGGCCATCCTCTCACGCTCCACCAATCACCGTCACCGTCTCCCCCCCTCCGCCGCCCCGACTATTTCAATTCCATCCTTCTCCGGCCTCAAATCCGCCTCGAATCACTTCTTATGCACCATTCCCCGCCGCCAAACCCCTAACCTAACTCACCTCCCGGCGATCAGAGCCTCCGCCGCCGTCGAGACCGTCGAGAAGACGTCCGATGTCCAGCTTGTGGAGAAGTCGGTCAACACGATCAGATTCCTGGCGATCGACGCCGTGGAGAAGGCCAACTCCGGTCACCCTGGCCTCCCGATGGGCTGCGCTCCGATGGGACACGTTTTGTACGACGAGGTTATGAGGTACAACCCGAAGAATCCCTATTGGTTCAATCGAGACCGCTTCGTGCTCTCCGCCGGCCATGGATGTATGCTGCAATACGCCCTCCTTCACCTCGCTGGATACGATTCCGTCAAGGTCAATTTCTAGGGTTTCGGTTTCTAATTTGCCCCAAATCGATTCTGCGCCTTTTCAATTCCGTTAAGCTGAATATGGATCTCTCTCATAGTTCAATTTCATTTCATATGCATCGATTTACTGTGTTTTCCCCTAACTGCAGAGATCGATTCTGAGAAATTTATTAACGATTCGATCAAGCATCCATTTCAGTTGATTTTTAGTTAGTTCCTTTCTGGATTGATGAGCTCTGTAGCAGCTTAGCTTCATTTGTGCTTTTGTTCATCATTGCTCTGATAGCCATTTTTATTGGATCGACTTGAATTTGTTTCACTCTTTCAAATATATATATAAATCATCGAATTCGAAAACCAGTTTCATAAGTTTGAAGATAAACATAAACATGAACATACTATGGTGTTCTTACAGGAGGAGGATTTGAAGAGTTTCCGACAATGGGGAAGCAAGACTCCCGGCCATCCCGAGAACTTCGAGACTCCCGGCATCGAAGTCACCACTGGTAAGAACCATGACACAAAATCAAAACAAATCGAGAATATATAAAACAATCGATGTTTTATATAATTTACTTTCGTGTAGGTCCTCTTGGCCAAGGAATTGCGAATGCTGTTGGTTTAGCCCTGGCCGAGAAGCACTTGGCAGCTCGATACAACAAACCGGATTGTGAAATTGTCGACCATTACACGTACGGCAGAAACTTTTTCACCCTCCCTGTACTCGCATTGGGTCGCTTTCATTCAGAATTTGATTTGTGACGTTGTTCTGCTTACACAGATACGCGATTCTTGGCGATGGGTGTCAAATGGAAGGAATCGCAAACGAAGCCTGCTCATTGGCGGGACACTGGGGACTCGGGAAGCTGATTGCTTTCTATGACGACAATCACATCTCCATTGACGGAAATACGGAGATCGCGTTCTCTGAGAGCGTAGAAACCCGATTCGAGGCTCTCGGTTGGCACGTGATTTGGGTGAAGAACGGTAACACAGGTTACGACGAGATCCGCGCTGCCATCAAGGAAGCTAAGGCGGTGAAAGACCGGCCGACGCTCATCAAGGTCGATTCTTTTCATCTTTGTTACTCGGAATTCGATATTTGCTGATCGATTAAGTTTGTTTTTGTTGCGTGTGCGAAGGTAACTACAACGATCGGTTTCGGTTCTCCTAACAAGGCCAATTCATATAGCGTGCACGGAAGCGCGTTGGGTGCCAAGGAAGTCGAGGCTACCCGAAAAAACCTCGGATGGCCGCACGAGCCCTTCCACGTGCCGGAGGATGTGAAAAAGTAACGATCTTTAACGTTTTCGGAATGTATTGTTAATTTTTTCTCGTATAATTTTTGTTTACGCTTCGGGCAGACATTGGAGCCGTCATACTCCCGACGGCGCTGCTTTGGAGGCCGATTGGAATGCCAAATTCGAAGATTACGAGAAAAAGTATCCCGAGAAAGCGGCCGAGCTGAAATCTATCATCGAGGGAAAACTCCCGACGAGTTGGGAGACGGCTCTTCCGGTGAGTTTCTTTTTACGAGTCGATGATTTTATGTAATAGTTTCGACTCATATGGGGGATTGTTTTTCAGATATACACTCCGGAAAGCCCGGCCGACGCTACTCGGAATTTATCGCAGCAAAACCTCAATGCTCTTGCCATGGTCCTCCCCGGCCTGCTCGGCGGAAGTGCCGATCTCGCCTCTTCGAACATGACGCTTCTCAAAATGTTTGGAAATTTCCAGAAGGACACGCCGGAAGAACGCAATGTCAGGTTCGGCGTCCGCGAGCACGGCATGGGGGCCATCTGCAACGGCATCGCCTGCCACAGCCCGGGACTGATTCCCTACTGCGCTACATTCTTCGTTTTCACCGACTACATGAGAGCGGCGATACGAATCTCGGCCCTCTCGGAAACCGGCGTAATTTACGTCATGACCCACGACTCGATTGGACTCGGAGAAGACGGCCCAACGCACCAACCCATCGAGCATTTGGCGAGCTTCCGGGCAATGCCCAACATTTTGATGCTCCGTCCCGCCGACGGCACCGAGACCGCCGGCGCGTACAAAGTCGCTGTCCTAAACCGGAAGAGGCCCTCGATCCTCGCCCTGTCCCGGCAAAAGCTGCCGCAGCTTCCAGGAACTTCAATCGAAGGAGTCGAGAAAGGAGGGTACGTAATATCCGACAATTCGTCGGGAAACAACCCCGACGTAATATTGATCGGAACCGGGTCCGAGCTTGAGATTGCCGCAAAGGCTGCCGACGAGCTCCGAAAAGATGGCAAGGCTGTGAGAGTCGTCTCCCTCGTTTCGTGGGAGCTTTTCGACGAGCAATCGAGCGATTACAAGGAAAGCGTTCTTCCCGCTGCCGTGACGGCGCGGGTCAGCATCGAGGCGGGATCAACATTCGGGTGGGAGAGAATCGTCGGGTCGAAAGGTAAAGCTATCGGAGTCGACGGATTCGGCGCGAGCGCCCCTGCCGGTAAATTATACAAAGAGTTCGGGATCACGGCCGAGGCTGTTGTGGCTGCGGCTAAGGAGTTATGTTAGGTTTGAATCTGTTGATTTTCGAAGATTTTTCGACTCGGCGCCGCCGCGCCGGCGGCCGGCCGGCCGGTTCGTCTTCCGGCCTTTTCCGAATAAAGATGACTATAAGGTATGTGTGTGAGGGTTTTGTGTTGTGTTATTTTGTTGGTGAAAGTTTAGGATGGAATGAAGTTATTGCAATTTGATTGTAGTGATCAATGATGTTCTTTTTTGGATTTGTTTTTGCCTAAACTTCAGAGAAGTGTGTTTCTTTAACCATTAAAATTCAGTTTCCTACTCTTTGATTCTGTATTTTTTTGACCAAACTTAAATACTCCCTCCGTCCCACGAGAATGGTAGCGTTTGCTTTTTCAACTAGATTTTTGAATATTAGTACTATATTAGATTATAGTAAAAAAGACAAAAATATTCATATTAGTACGGTGTAATATAAAAATAATGATATTTATGTAATATATTGTAAGTTAAAAGGGTATTTATTATGTAAAATATGTAGTACAATTACTAAATTAGAAAATAGTAATCTTGTTTTGGGACAGACAAAAATGAAAAATAGTAACTTTGTTTTGGGCCGACAAAAATGAAAAATAATAACCTTTAAAGGGACGGATGAAGTAAAAAAAATTCAAAACAAAGAAACACAACATACAATCTTACAACCAACTACCAATTGCCAAATTCTGCAGCAGCTGTGATTGCGGTTGGTGTACCTTTTTATTAGTTCGGAAATAAATTTGATTTGAATTTACCTTTTTATTAGTTCGGAAATAAATTTTATTAAAATAATATTTAATGAAATATTTATGAAAAAATATATATATATATATTTTTAAAAATACATAGACAAACTAGTAAAAAATTGGATAATTTGGGTAAAGAAAGCGTCCTAACAAGTCCGGGTCTGACTGGTTGTAGGTGAAAATTGTCACTGGGTTCTACATAATAGATGGGATTGTAAGAATAACTTTCCATTTGTTTTAAAATTTTTAACTATATTTCAATTCATTCTTTTTTTCTTTTTTCTTTTTTAAAATATATTTGACATATATTATAGGTTTTAAACAGTTACATAATTTTTATTCATTTACATATTAACATCAAAAATATTTTTTTTATAAATTCAAACTCTACAATATGGGTAATTTTTAAAATTATTATTATTTGATTTGATTATATTTTGTGTGAAATATATTATGATTTAAATAAAGAAAATAATAAATTATGGTACAATCAGAATTATATTAAGAAAATAAGGGTATAAAATATAGATACAAAAATAAAATATTATTTATTATAATCCACTTTATTAGCATTTCGCTTTCATAAGCAATCTATTAATACATTCTATAGTGCTACACATGCATCTTTGTCTCTAATTTGCTTGTATAAACTGAAAATTTGTCAAAATAAACCATTTTTTTTTATCTGCGATTCTTTCAATTATATGTCGATAATCATATTATGCATGATATTGCATATAAACAATATACCATGTAAAATATTTTTATCCCAAAAATGACATAATCTTACAATAATTGCAAGATGTGATTTCAGAACTTTGGATGGAATGATCATAATGCGGGATTCAACATTGAATATCAATTGAATGAATATAATTCAGAATTTAACATTGGATACCAATTGAATGGACACAGTTTAATATTCAAAGTTGGATACCATTGAAGGGATATAATTCAGAATTTAATATTGAATACAAATTGTATAGACGCAAATCAATATCTAACATTGGATACCAATTGAATGGACATTGAATATCAATTAAATATACACAATTCAATATTTAACATTGGATATAAATTAAATTGACACAATTTAATATATAATATTGAATACCATAAAATTTTTGTTGATATATATTAAACTTCAAAACAATTAATCATACAACATCTAGTAGTATCATTCAAAACAAAAATTATACCTTTCTTATGACTTCTCATTCAAATAAAATTAAAATAAGTTCTCGAACTTCTGAATACACTGTCCATGAAGATATTAATTGTGCGCAACTTATATAAGTATTCCTCGAAATATAAAAGGTTGGAGTGGGTATAAGTTATAAAATAAATTATTTTTATATATATTTTAATTTTATTGTATTTATTATAGTTAATTAAATAATATTATATAGTATTTATATATATATTTTACATAAATATTATTTAATAATATTAAAATTTAAATTTATTTAATTTTAAAAATATTTATTATTTTGTATAATCAAATAATAAGAAAAATTATAAATTTTATTTATTGATATAATATTTAATATATTTTTATAAATTAAATATATAAAAAGTTATAAAATATTTAACGTTATTTATAAATTAAAAAATTATAAAAATAGATGGTGTGGTTGGAGATGAGTTATTGTAATTTGTAAAAATAGAGGATGTGATTGAAGATGAATGACTTAAAAAACCCTGCAATAATGATAATGTATTATAAATTTTGCAAAAGTAGAGTTATGAATTGGAGATGGTCTAATAGTGTCGATTTAAACAATGTGCATCCCGTTTTTTTTTTTTTTTTCCTTCAAAATTTTATTATTTATTAAATTTATTTTTTAAAAACATCAAATTAATTTTTTATTTTTTATATTTTATATTATATCAAAAATTAAATTTACATTTAAAATATCAAATCAAATATCACGTGTATTCTTTCTATTAAAGAAAATTAACACATTTTCTAAAAACGATTATTCTACAAGCATTAATTATTTTAATAAATTACTTATGCAATTTTCTATATCTCATATAAAAAATATTTATTCAAACAAATTATAAAACAAGCACACCTCTACTTTTTATTTTCTACTACCTACGCCCCAATTCAAAGGGGACTTTTGGAGTTTCATAGTAAATTCAAAAATAATACTATTTATTTTATTAGTTAAAAAAAATATGTAAATTTTTTTAACATTTTATATATAAAATAATTATAGTAAAAATAGATATCTTGGTAATGAATGTTTGATTATGCGGCATCATATATTATTTTTATTCAAAATTTTTATTATTTAATATCATTTTTGTCGTCCAATTATGTGTTCATAAGTAAAAATAATTTTTTTCTATTTTTTAAAAAATAAAAATAAATTTGAAGGACCAAAAATAATAATAATAAGGTAAAAAATCAACTGTGGTTCCAATATAAAAAATTCATCAATTTTAGTCTTATTATAAACAATTTCAATCAATTTTGGTCATACCATTAAAAAAAAACTAACGGAAATTGATGACATTGACATAACGGAGGTGACGTAGCAGTTGACATGGAAAGTACACGACCATGTATATTTATACACGGCCATGTTGTTACACGACCATGTATATTTCAGTATATAATTATAATGTAATTAAAATTTATCAATTTTAATTCAAATATAAAACTTTATAAGATATATTCTTCTGAAATGTTTTGTACAAAATTTTATTATTCATAAAAAAATTTCCTATATAACAAAAAAATAAAATTTTAAATCGAAACAGAAATGTACACGGCAGTATAACTAAATGGTCATGTATAATTATATATTGAAATATATATGACTATGTAACAACATGGTCGTGTAACAATATGACTATGTATAATTATACACTGAAATTTACATGGCCATGTAACAACATGGTCGTGCATAATTGTACATGGCCGTGTAGTTTTCACGTGAACTGCCACGTCACTTCCGTTATGTCTACATCAGCAATTTCCGTTAGTTTTTTTTTATCGATTAGACCAAAATTGATTGAAATTATTTATATTGAGACCAAAATTGATTGAAATTATTTATATTAATACTCAAATTAATGAGTTTTTTTTTTATATTGAGACAATTTTGATGATATTAGAACCAAAATTAATTTTTTTTCCTAGTGAAAGATTTGGACGACGTAGGATACCAATAAAACAATCCAAACCCTAACAAACACATCCTAAATATTCTTACCAACCTACTTTGATAGACAAAGGTGTTTGGTAAGAACAGTGACAAAGACCATCCTCCTCCTCCGCCAACCACCGCCGCGAACCTACCCCCATCTGGCCCAGTTCGCCTGCTGCACTTTCTGCCATTTTTCCATCTATATACCCACCATCCCAGAGAAATATAGATCGCCAATCGGGAATTCCTCCTCTGATCTCCAAATGGCGCGGGCTGTCGACGTGGTGCACACTTTAAATTTCCCCAAATTCCCGACGCCTATCCCTAAATCCTCCGCTTCGACTTCAGTCTCGTTGTCGTTTGCCTCTTGGAATTCGGGCAATTCGCTGAAAGCATCCCGTGATTCCAAGAGAGATTATGTTTCCGGTGCAGGGAAATCACGTCTTTTGAAGGTTACGGCGACGGCGGCGACGGCGGAGAAGCCGTCCACGGTGCCGGAGATTGTGCTGCAGCCAATCAAAGATATTTCCGGCACTGTTAAATTGCCGGGCTCCAAATCTCTTTCCAACCGTATTTTACTTCTTGCTGCTCTCTCTGAGGTAATTTATGCGCCAAGAGTATTGATTTCTTGTGAATTTCTTCTTGTCTGTATAAACCCTAGATGTGGTGTGCAATATATTATGAACAACTGAAGTTTCTGCCTTGTGTATAAACTGTAGCTAGCTTTGATCCGTTGTTAGAAATGAGAATATACTCAATCGTTGCCAAATATTCTAGTTCTAAGATAAATCGACCTATGGTAGTCAATTAGCAATTGGCTTGAAATTGTGTTATTTCAAGAAACTGTTCAATTACCGGTAATGTTTCGATTTTGGTTATTAGCGAAATAAGGTTTTTTAGCTTAGAAAAGATGGAGAGCACTATGTGAGAAGTAGATTTTGGGGATTTCGTCATTTATTGAGCTGTGATGTGTGATCATGGCTTCTCTTCTCTGAAATCTGCAGTTCTTTATATGTAGTATAATGTTTTGAGTGATTTGAACCAAGTGAAATATGTGTTTTACTAGTGAACTTAATAAGTTTGGACTATTTGTAGATTGCAGTGAGAACGATTGATTTGTGTAAACAGTTTAGTTTACCAGAATCTCTCTTAAGTAGGTAATGAGCAGTATATTATACATATATACAATGAATTATTCAAACAAAATCCCCTCAACTTGAACATAGTTACATTAACCTGATTTATTATCTTTTGAAAATATGTTTGCTTATCCTTTACTATGCCTTAAATCGATGATTCAGTTGTTTGTCTGTGCTTTTATTGCAGGATTAGTACAACCTTTGATGATCCCTATATCGTATAATTTTCTATGTTGATGCTATTTGTGTACTCATAGCAAATCTTACACTTGTTAGGGAACAACCGTGGTGGAAAATTTACTAAGCAGTGATGATATTCATTATATGCTCGGTGCCCTGAAAACGCTCGGTCTTCACGTGGAAGAAGACAAAGCTAATCAAAAGGCGGTTGTGGGAGGCAGCGGTGGTCTATTTCCAGTGTCGAAAGAAGCAAAGGATGAAATTCAACTTTTCTTAGGAAATGCAGGAACTGCTATGCGCCCGTTGACTGCTGCAGTTGTCGCTGCTGGTGGCAATGCGAGGTACTCCTTTATGCTGTTTATGAGATTGCAAGTTTAAGATAATAAGATCAGATGATATTGATTTTTCAGTTGGCTTAGAAATAATGCCCCTGTTCGTATTGATGCCCGGATTCTTTTAGTTAGACTGATTTTTAATCGATATGGCCTGTAGATATGTACTTGATGGTGTTCCTCGAATGAGAGAGCGGCCCATTGGTGATTTAGTCACTGGACTTAAACAGCTTGGTGCAGATGTTGATTGTTTTCTCGGCACAAATTGCCCCCCTGTTCGTGTCGTGGGGAAAGGGGGCCTCCCTGGTGGAAAGGTATGCTTCCCTTTCATTTAAACGAGTGTTGTAGCATTACTTTAGTATTTTAATTTCAAGATTTTTCTCACATTATCTATATATACACATACATACAATTGTCTTACCACATTACCATGTTGATCTATATGTTGGTGCCGTCCTCTAGTTTTAATATTTCTTGTTATATACTTCCTCCATCCCAATTCAATTGGACCTTTTGAGATTTTGCAGTAGATTAATGAATTATGCTAGTAATATTTTATTGGTTAGTGAAAATATGTAAGAGTTTTTGACATTTTTGTCAACTTTATGTATAAAGTAATTGTACGTGTAATGGTATGTTTGTAATTTAAGTAAAAGTTAAGGGTATTTCGGTATTAGTATATGATTACTTTTTCTAAAATAGAAAATGAATACTTTGAAGTGGAACAGACAAAAATGGTAAAAAAAGTTACTTTGAATTGGGACGGAGGAAGTATAACTTCTCTTTACTTTCACAAAATTTAAATTTTTTGAAAGTGCATAAGAGAAAGCAGCTGAAATGATCATATCTGTAATTGTATGTGTTATCGAGAAAAACATATATCTATATATAAGTATTAAGTGTATATATGCTTAGTTTTATTTGTTACCTGGGCGATTCTTTGATAAATTATAGTTGTATATGATTTCTTTCAGGTTAAGCTCTCTGGATCGGTTAGCAGCCAATACTTGACAGCTTTGCTAATGGCTGCTCCCCTCGCCCTTGGAGATGTTGAAATTGAAATCATCGACAAACTGATCTCTGTTCCTTATGTCGAGATGACACTCAAGTTGATGGAACGATTTGGTGTCTTTGTCGAGCATACAGACAGCTGGGACAGATTCTTGGTTCGAGGAGGTCAGAAGTACAAGTAAGCTCCTTATTTGTGAAACTTGGGGTGTGTTTGTTTGGGGGATTGGATTTTGAGTTGAGATTTGAATAGTAAAAATTTTGAATTAGAATAGTTGTATGATGTGATATAATTTTTTGTTGATATAATGTATTAAAAGTAAAATTGATTTTTAGTATAATATAAAAAATAAAAATTAGGTATTTGAGAAAATTTTTTATGAATAGTAGAATTTGTGAAAAATCGTATAAAAGAACACACCTTCCGTCTCAAATGAAACTAACACATTTGTTGTCGTAAGGTCTCCCGGAAATGCCTTTGTTGAAGGCGATGCCTCAAGCGCCAGTTACTTCTTAGCCGGGGCAGCCATTACCGGAGGAACTATTACCGTTGAAGGTTGCGGCACAAGCAGTTTGCAGGTACACATTACAACAGTTGTTTTCAATTTCAAAAAAATTTTTTCTACTCAAGCGTTTTACAAACCATATGATGTCCGATAACTATCTTGAATTAAACGAGCTTTTTGTTTTGCTAAATAATCTTATGTCGCTGTTGAAGGGCGATGTTAAATTTGCCGAAGTTCTTGAAAAGATGGGCGCTGAAGTCTCCTGGACTGAGAATAGCGTAACGGTGAAAGGCCCGCGACGCATACCTGGAAAGAAACATTTACGTCCCGTCGATGTCAACATGAACAAAATGCCGGATGTCGCCATGACCCTCGCTGTTGTGGCACTTTTTGCGGACGGACCCACGGCTATTAGAGACGGTAGCTTTCTCTTTACAAGATAAAAAGATAAAAAATAAAAATCACCAATCGTTATAATCTGTTACTCTATTTACCAAATACCATCTGTTCTCGTTTGAATTGATTTTTTTTTTTTTCTCGTTTACATTTGCAGTCGCGAGCTGGAGGGTTAAAGAAACCGAACGAATGATCGCCATATGCACAGAACTCAGAAAGGTTCTTTCCTACTCTCTCTCCATATATATATATAGCTCTAGCCTCGACTATTTTGAAAAAAAAAAAAAAAAAAAAACTTGTCTGGCGTGTCGAATTTCAGTTGGGGGCGACAGTTGAAGAAGGTCCAGACTACTGCGTAATCACTCCACCTGAGAAATTAAGCGTGGCAGCCATTGACACATACGACGACCACAGAATGGCCATGGCATTTTCTCTTGCTGCCTGTGGAGATGTTCCCGTCACAATCAAAGATCCCGGCTGCACCCGCAAGACCTTCCCCAATTATTTTGATGTCCTCGCCACATACTCGAAGCATTAAACATCCTCCCGGTGACCTGGTAAGAGACCTTATCTGTATGTCTTTCCCCTGTTTTTTTTTTGTCACTTTATGTCTCTAGAGCTATTGTTGTTTCCGCGGCCTTGAGGATTTCGATATAAATGTTTGTTTTTCGTTTTCGTGTTTGTATTTATTGTCGACGGCCGATAGAGAGAGATACATACGCATGTGAACTCAAACACCCTGTGGAGTCATGAAATTTTACTGTTGTTTTCTTGCAGCTGTTTACGACAAGAATGAACCTTAATATATTCGACTATTTGATTAGAAAATAAAGGGTCCTTAGGGTGCTTATTCAGTCCTAATTAGAACTTTTTCCTAATGTGTTGTTTCAATTAAATCAGTACATACTGTGTTGATTATATATTGTGTTGTTGAGTTATGTTATGCATGTGTTTTGTTAACATATAGTATTTTGTGTTAAAAGCTCAAATATTTTATGTTATTTTTATTATATGTTAAAATTTATACCACATGTAATGTATTGATCAGAGGTAATCAACACTTTTTCAATACTAATATGATAGCATTTGTCTATGGCTCAATGTATTCTCTCCATTTATTAAAAGATAAATTGTTTTTTCACCTCTTTATATTTTAGGATTTTAAGTGACTCTATCTGAAAAAAAAGTCCTATAAGTATAAATTTTTTACTGAAATGATCCTCCGGTGTTGGATTTGCTATGCTGGCCCTCCGTTGTTGACATGTCATCGCCACGTAAGCAACACGTGGAATTTTTAAAAAATTCTTTTTTAACAAAATGTCTTGTTAAACTTTTTTTTTAGTCATGTATATGATCTCATTTATTATTTTTAGGACATTTAAATGAATCATGTCTGAAAATAGTCCTATAAGTAAAAAATTTGCGTTAAAATGGGCCTCAAACTTGGAATCTACGTGGCGATGACATATCATCCGCGTCAGCGCCATGTCATCAACCGCGGCTAACGTGGCGAGTTTGGCACCAAATGACTATTTTAGCGAAATTTTTTTACTTACGGGACTATTTTCAAACGGAGTTCACTTAAAATCTTAAAATGATAAAGAGTTAGATACCGACTAAAAAAACAGTTTATCCTTTATTAAATATATTTTGTTATTTAGATTGTTCACAAACAATATACTTCTATTTATTTGGTAAATATGAATGTTATGATATTAATAAAATGTCACACTCCTTTCGTCTTGTTTTCATATTGTTATTTGTATTAGTCATATATTTCATATCATTTTTTAAAAAGAATTATGTATTAAAAATTTTTTAATTATAAATGTATTAAAAAATACTTAGGTCAATATCCATTTATAATTTAAATATTTTAGTTTTTACATACTTATATTCTCCCTCCTATTTGGATTTGTATGACACTTTATTTGTGCACGAACACAAATAAAACAAATTAATATAAAAAATGGGATAGGTAAAAAATTATTATTTGTTAAAATAAAATAATAAAATTATATGTAAATAAAATTGTTTATTATAAATAAACTCTATAAAAATGGTGTGTTTACTTGTTAGGTTTTGCACCTGATTTTACTATTTAAATTTTTTTTTTTTCTTTTAAAAACATCAAATCAAACACCCAATTTTTATTTATTTTATTACATTAAAATTTAATTTTACATTCAAAATATCACATCAACGCATATTTATATCACATCAAACAACTATTTCAATTCAAAATTTTACTATTCAAAATCAAAACCCAAGACTAAAACTTCATAAGTAAACACACTTTTTAATAGACAACAACAAAAAAAGACAGTAATTATTTGGGATGGACGGAATATATTATTTTTTATTCTCCTTTGTTATATATAAATTATATATATTTTCTATTTAAGTCGGTTTTACATAATTTGTTCTTTTTATTTTTTAGAAATTAATTGTACATTTTTTTATATTTTAAGTTTTATAATTTTTTTAATCTTAATTAAATTAATTATTTTAATTATATTATATAATAATTATTTTTACTACTACATTTTTTAATTATTTATTAACTATAATATTTAAACAAAATCTTAAAATATTTAAATTTAAATTGAGATTCTTAAATAGTATAAAATTTCTAAAACAAAACAACAAATAGTTTTAGAAATTGAATAAACTCTCATAGGGTTTGATTATAATATTTATGTTTAAATAATTTTAAATTTTGCTTCGATATAATATAATTGATATTAGTATTATTTTTTAGAAAAATAATTGTTATATAATTCAAATATTAAAAGTTTGTTTGATTATGGTATCAAATTGATTTGAAACATGTATTGATTTGAGTTTTGTTTAAACAATATTTTAAAATTAGATTTTGTAAAAAAATATATATATTTTTATAAAAAATCTTGTAAAATAAATAATATTAATTTAAATTTAAAATATTAAAAGGATATACTATATATGTATATATAATTAGCATAGATTAATTTATAAAAAATATATATATACCTTTTTAAATGTCACAGATATATTTACTCATGAGTTGTTGACTTAGTAATTTTGTGGCAAGAATTTTTCATAAATATTTTTTAGAAATACAATATACGTATATATTAACAGAATATATAATATGTATATTTTATTTACTTATAAAAAATTATTAATTTAATATAAAATACTTCTTCCGTTCCAGAAAATACTCTACGTTTTGAATAATTTTAAAAAGTAGGTTATACTAATAATTATGGATAGTTCAAAAAAGTTGAAATAATTTTGTTATAAAATGGGTACCACAATTACTAAATAAGAAAATATGAAAAAAAGACAACTCTATTGTGACAAAAAACGAGTATTATTTTTTATATTACCAACTTAATTAATTTAATCTAACATTAAAAATTCATCTCTCCAAAAGTATAAAGTGAACAAAATAAGATAATAAGAGGTTTTTTTTTTTTTTCCTAAAGAATTAAGGTTGTTCATGTACACCCAAAACAATTAATCGCGGCCGCCCAGCGAAAGTGCAGTCCAAACGAATGTCTTTCAACCCAAGAATATTTGCGGCCCAGCATACAACTGGAAATAGTAGATGGATCTGCTGACCCATTGTTCAGGGAGCTCCAACTCGATTTAAAGGTAACCCGAAACAAAAAAGTCTAGAAATTGTTAGAAAATTGTTGGAGTTGAAGGAAATTTGAGAATAAGATTTTATCTAAATGAATTTAAAAAATAACAAGATTTAAACAAGATCAAGATCAAATACCACAAGCCATTCATCATTCAAATTTTTATTTATTTTTATTTATTTTTTTTACGGTATTTTTTTTCAAATTTTTACAATTTTATTTCATTAATTCCAACTTCTTCCTTGTTTATTAACTTTATTTTCACTTCTTTTTATGATAAGTTTTTTTATTATCGCTGAGATAGCTCAAATCTTTTTTTAGGAGGCCGAGAACCCTTTGAACAAATCAATTTTAATAGACTTTTTCGATTAATCCGTCAGTGGTGGCGATTTTTTTTTACTACAACAGTTCACTTAGTATTTTTTGACACAATTCTCTATAAATATTATTAAAAATATATAAATGCATGTATTAACACAATATATAATATATATTTGATCCACTAAAAAAGTAGAAATTTTAAAATGAAATATATTTTTTTTAGATATATTATCAATACAAATATTTGTACTTAATATAAAATAGCCGATCCAAAAACACAACTAAAACTATATTTTAATTTATATTTTTATTTATATATTATTTTGATGTGATTTTTTGTTAAAGAAAAGAAAATGTATTTATTATTATTTTTATATAGAAAATCATGAATGAATAATAGTATTAATTTCAATTTACAAATACAATTAAATAAATATTTGAAATAATTTTTGCGAGAGATTAATTTAAAAAATCTATGAAAGGAGAAACCAAATATATAGACACTATAAATCGATAACATAACTTATACATTATAGTTCAATAGTCCAATACTACATTCACATTATACTTTATACCTCCGCCAATAACAAATATTTTATTTTCTATTTCTAACAGTCTCAAAATAAATGTATCTTTTTTAATTTAAAAATTATACTACTTATCCAACATAATAAATACAATTTATTATATATTCACAAATATCATTATTTTTTTTCTTTTTAATATAATACTAATATTAAAAAATTTAAAAAAAAAAAAACAAAAAAACAAATTATACTTTTTTATGGGATGAAGAAGTACATAATTCAATATATATGTATAATAACTGATTAATTTGTTTTTAGCTAAATTGTTGTATGGAGTATATATAATAAGTAACTACACACATTCCATTCAAATCTTGTACACAATCTAAAACAATAAAAGAATTTTGAAGCATATATACTTGATTCATTCATTCGAAAAACTTTTTATTTTTGTATTTGTCTGTCAATTTAATTTTTCTTTATCATTACATCATTAATTTTACACTAAAAATCAAGAATAAAATTATTTTTACATATTTTATTCGTACCGCACTTCAATAAAATATTAATATACTAAAATCTCCATATAAAAAATAAATGAGAAGATGAGGGAGCAATACATTAGTGGATGATATATGGGAATGGGAGGGACAAAATCACATGATGACAGCCTAACAAAAACAAAAAATGGGGACACAAAATATATATGCTGTCCTAAACAAATTAAAAGGTGCTTAATTTGTCTTTCCTAGTCTTAACACACACACACCCGTGCGTGTGTGTGTAATGTAACTTCCTCTGACTTTATAGTCACACCTCTCTTTCACGTTCTTTTCATCACAACCAACCAAACTAATAATATATATTCTTCGAGTACTTGCGTGCACACTAAATATATGTCATGCAATAGGACTATTGAATTTTATATACTTTTTGAGTGTTTTCTTAATCCGGTGAAAATTGATCATAATGAAAAATACGAAAAATTGATGATCTGGTGGTGTGGGGATGAATTCATTAGTGTGAGATCATGGGTTTAAATTCGATGTTTTCAGATCTTATTTATCACACGTGGTTGCCTAGTGTGACTTGTCTTATCAGATTTAGTTTGCAGCCAATTAGGTTCAGCCGAGAATTTACAGAGTGCACCAGAAAGATAGCGATGGCAGATTCCTACGTTATTAAAAAAAATAATAATAATAAAATAAATGTCAAGTTCACACATTCTTGACCTTTTCTTCAACTTGTGTAATTTTTTTTTTGTCACTTATTTGATCTTTAAATTAACATTGTTTTTGTGAAGGTTGAAATAATTTGATTCATTTATTGACAAAGAAAAAAGAAATACATCATAGGTTCATATAGAATGACAAGAATAATTTATAAAATAGTCTACGGAAAGTAAATAATGACAAGAGTAATTTACATGAGATATTTAAGGAGCTAAGCATAGAAGATCCAAATTAATTATCATAATTATCACTAATACCTTTCATAAGCGGAGCGTGGGATTAAAGGAAACACGAAGCTTGGACCTAAACATTTCATAAGCTTGTGGGGGAAGACTTTTCATGAAAATGTCAGCAAGCTGAAGCGAAATGAAACAAATTGAGTAACCACACGGCCAAATTCTACAAGTTCTTGCATAAAGTGACAATCAATATCAAAGTTTTTGGCACGCTTATTTTGGTTGAGGAAAAATGCACTTTTATTGTCACTAAGAACTGCTTCAGAGGGGAAGCTGGATAAACATGAAGGTCCCGAAGGAGGTAAGTATCCCACATAAGTTCTGATGATGTATTAGCAAGAGCCTTATATTTAGACTCGCAGCTTGAGCGAGAGATTGTTGGTTGCTTATTCGCACTCCAGGAGATAAGATTTGGACCAAGAAAGATGATATACCAATATGTTGAACATCGAGTGTCAATACAACATGCTCAGTTAGCATCCGAATATCCATGAATACCGGGGTACCTTGGGTGAGAAAAATAGACCGAAATTGAGAGTGCCTTTAACATACCGTAATATACGTTTAACAGTCTGGAAATGCTTAGGCGTGGGGCGCTGCTAAAATTGATTGACAGTATTCACAAAATAAGCAATGTTAGGATGCCTGATGGCTAAATATTGAAGAGCACCAACCAATGAGCAATATAAAGTTGGATCATCAAAGTCAGAACTAATACCGTGAAGGTTGCGCTGAGAGCGAGGGGAGTGGAGACTGATTTGGAATCAAGCAAGTCGGTGCGGGCGAAAATATCACGAGCATATTTTGACTGACTGGGGAAAAGGCCAAAAGTAGTCTATGAAACTTCCAAGCCAAGAAAGTACCCTGGACGCCTAAGATCCTAAACTGAAAATTTAATGCACAAGCAAGACAATAGAGCATAAACCGCAACATTGTCGTTTTTTATGAAAATTATATCATCGACATATACTATTGGTAGATGAGTATAGAACGTCAACAAAGAACACATAATAATGTGTCATCAACATTACAAAGAAAACCAAGATTGCAGAGAAAAGCTTTAGAAGCAATGATACCAAGCCAGAGAGATCTAGCGAAGAACATAGAGAGCTTTCTTAAGATTTCATACATGATTCGGATATAAGGGATCTATGAAGTCATGTGGTTGCTCCAAAATGACAGGCTTAGATAAATAGCCGTTGAGGAAAGCGCTTTTGACATCAAGTTAATGTAGGGATCAAGAATACATGGCAACAAGGGATAAGATAACGTGGACTTTAGACACCTTTACGACAGGGCTAAAGCTATTAGTGAAATCAAACTCAATAAGTTGGCTGAAACTCTGAGCAACGAGACATGTCTTGTATCTATCAATAGAATTGTCTGCCAGTAATTTTGTGCGATAGACCCATTTGGAGCCAACCACATTGGAATTAGGCGGTCTAGGGACAATACACCAAGTGTTATGTGCTCGCAAAACATCCATTTCCCTATGTATGGCGTTCACCCAATGGGGAATCGTAAGAGCATATTTGATTCCTCGAGATTCAGAGATGATAGTGAGAGCTGAATAGAAAGGTTAAAATCAACAAGAGTGGTGTCCATGGGATAACGAGGTTTGAATATACCCGAGTGAGCTTGTGTTTGCATCGGGTGAGTACAAAAAAATGGAGCAACATTAGCCATGATAGGTGGAGCTGAAGGGAACGACGAAAAAGAGGCGGATTAGCTAAAGCCAACTTTGCAGAAAAAGGCTATTGTTGGTGTGTAAGCAACATAGGAGCAAGCGGTTCTGGCAACTCAGGTGCTCAAATGTGACACGGCTAAAGCGGCAGATGATGGACGGTTACATGGGAACCAAGACAAATATGCTATCCAAAACTTGAGACATGGTTAGACGGGAGATATTTTTAGAAAAGCTAGACTTCAAGAATAGGAAGTAGGATTCATCAAATTTTGCATGGCAAGTGATGAAAATTCGAGTGGAGTTAGGATCCAAACATCGAAAACTTTTATGGCTTGTATTGTATCCAAAAAAATACATAGAAGACTCCGCAGTTTGAACTTAGTCTTGGCATAGTCCCATAGACAAGAATAAACGCAAAAACAAAAAAAATATGAAAAAAGGCATAAAATGGAGAATGCCCATAAACCATCTCAAAGGGAGACCTATCGCTAAGAGTGACAATGGAAAGATGATTAATAATGTAAACGACTGTACAAAATGGTTCCACCCACAAATGCAAGGGGACAAAAGAATGAAAGAGCAAAGCAAGTCTCATTTCAATTATATACCAATGTCTACATTCAGCTCTGCCGTTTGAAGAGAGCGTAAGGACAAGACATAAGATGATGAATACCACATCTTACAAAGTGAGATTGTAGGCGATGATTTGTAAATTTTGTGCCACCTTAACTCTGAAACTTTTTAATCCGACGAGAAAATTGATTTTCAACGAAGGATTGAAAACATAACAATACCAACAAATTCAATCTTTTTGCATAATGGATAGAACCAAGAGAATCTGGAATGATCATCCACAGAACAACATATTATCAAAAACCCGACCATACTGTGACGTGTGCATGACCCCATAAATCACAACGGATCAGTGAAAAGCACTTGAACCGGACTATCTCAAGTTAGCTTGCTAACAAACAACAATTTTAGTGATGCTAGGCATGACAAGAACATTATGGAAATTAAGATCCGGAGAAATATATAAGGAGCCAATATGAGAAATTGAAAGCCAACCAATTTTTAATGTTGTGGCCGCTGCTGTTAAATCGCTGCTAATACTGAACTGGACTGGATCTGCCTAGGCCTAGGCCTAGCTAGCTAGTCCTAGTCCTACTTTCATGGTGGTGCACACGTATAAATCTTGAACCATAAGGACAGAGACAGAAAGAAAGAGAGATAGAGACAAGTTAAAATGAATATATTATTATTATTGTTATTAATTTCACCATCTCCACAATACACAAAGTTATTGCTGATGCTGTTGTCTCCTCTGTTTCTTGTCGTTTTGTGCAGCTGCTTTTCGTCGTGATGCTGCTGCTTTTCTTGCCGGCTTTATCCGAGGAAGTTCATGATGACCAGATGAAGCACCAGGTTGCTGAGTATGAAATCTGCAAAAGCTCGTTCCGGAGGTAAATCCTATGAATGAAGAGAACAATTAAATGTGATTAGAAACAAGAGAATCTTTAGCTCGGATGAATACTTGTAAAAATAAATAAATCCACCATTATAATGCAGTGAAAACAATTCACTAAGCACCAACCAGGAAAGATGAAACTACAGACCTAGAGAGTCGAACATCTTATTCTTCTGTTTAAATGATTGCATTTTGAATTGAATGTAACTATTTTTGCGCCAAGAAACATTACCTTGAATTCCTTGTTTTCTTTGTTCACTTGAATCCGAAGACACACTGTAATTAGAGAATACATCAGTTGAATATATTTTATACACATTTCAGTACAAGGAAAAAAATATGGAAGCAACTCACCAGCAAGGACAGCAGTCCCGACACACGAAAGAACCCCTGAAAGGAAGGAGTTGAAGGGGAATGACCCAACAATGGCCATATAAACTACCTGTTACTACCAGTATAAAAAGAAACAGCAAATCATCATCTTCCCCTTTGCTCTTTCAGTGACTAATAAGGAAATGAGAATATAAGAATATGGATTATAACTTATAAACAAGTTGTAAAGTTTCCCAAATCATGGAGCGAAAATCGAAGGAAATCAATCAAAAAAAAGTTTTGCTCAATCATATACATTTATAAGAGACTGGATCTAATCCTGGGGCATGAAATATTAAGGATTGTACCAGAGCCATCATATTATTGGACAGCTTAATGTTCTCAACAGATGGCACAATAAATTAACACCCCATGATAATAAATTTCCTATGAACACCACATGAAATGCTTATCCTCCCAATAGAGAATCCGCACCAATCCCCTACACCAAGACCAGTTAGAGCACGGAGCACCAGAACAGCCTGTTTGCATGATATGCTACTGTGCCTTAACACGCAGCCACAATTTTGAAGATAGATTATCAATTGAAATTTTAGCATATCCAACTACAGAACCGATAGCTTTGATCCCTTTTCTTCATTGGTTCTGGTTATAGTTTGACACAGTTACATCTACTAACTGCTCTCTCACAAATTCTAGTAGAAAAACAATTTAACAGAACATTTAAAGAAACCAATTTGTTATTTTATTTTACTTTATGAAGGCAGATATAAGTGATCCAAATTTTCTGAAAAGTAAAGGTGGGAAAACAAGACATGATGTTTTTGTTGAAATAAATTAGAATATCAAAGTATGTATTGATTATCAATCATTTTCATTAAAACCAGTGCATTGCTGAACAAATTGATTGTCTGTTCCGATTCTATTAATTCCCCTTTTTGAATTATTATCCAGATAAAAACCAAAATGTCAATTATAATTCTACGTTTAAGACACTCAAACTGGAACTTCTGTTTATGCTTCCCCTTAGGTTCTGATAATGTCCAATAGAACCCAAACCATGTCTACATTCCAGACTCTCTATCAACAAGATTCTGAGCTAACAAATGTCTACAAAATTAACCACCAATGCAACACATCACTAGCTCAAGACATTCAAAAAAGAAAACCTAAATTGTCTTATCTTAATAAGCACCAATTCTCCACCGTCACCCCCATCAAACACGAAATTTAGAAGCTATTACACCAGATACAAGTAAATCAAGCGAAATCTTTAAATGAAGTCGAGATCGCTCGTCTACAAAAAAAAAAAACCATGCCATACGACTCAAAAATAAAACATGAACGTAGCATAAACAAACGAACAGTACCTGAATCAAGGCCGTGGTGACTGCAAAACCGATGTAAACATCAATGATCTGCAAATCCACAATCATAACAATAACCTCACATTTCAAAAACACAAACCGCTGACACAAAATCTACTCATACAATCACCCAGGCTACCTTCAGGTTTGTGGGAGTTGCAGCGTAAGCAGACCGCAGAGAACGGAAGAGGTCCTGGGCATCCCTCGTAGACGTCGACGATTTCCTCATTCCCGCAATCAGATCTCCGTCTCCCTGCGCAAAGGACAAAACTGTAATCCGTAGGCACCAGAAAGTCACACTCGCAGTCAATACCTATCTGTGCAACGGAGGGCCAATGTTGTGGCTGATGTTAAACCTGAGCGAGTATGATCTTGAGATTGATCTTGTTATTCTTCTTTCGATACAGCATGTACTTGTTATAGCATTGTAAATTAACTCAGGATTACCTGTTCTGTTTCAGATTGTTGTGTTAGGAGGCAATGGCTTTGTGGGTTCTGCAGTATGCAAAGCTGCAGTATCAAAGGGTATAGAGGTATTAGTCTAAGCAGGTGCGAAATGCCTCTCACGGCTTCTTTTACAAAGGCGCCATAGTTCTTACACAAATTAGTGTATGCAATGGATTTTACTTTTGTTATTCAGCAAATAGAGCTGGAAGTCACGTCTTTCACTGTTGTGGTATCCATCTACTGATCGATTTTGAAAGTTTGTGTTACAGGTCAGGGCGGCCTTCTTACTCAGATTCGTGGGTAGATCAGGTCACTTGGTTGAAAGGTAGGCTTTTGTTTCTCTATAATAAGAGCAAATATATTTTTATGAACTTAAGGTATTCTACTTGTGAAATATTTGAGGAATTTGTTGTGTGCAAGAATGAGTGAGATTGATTGTTGAATCCCAATACTAAAGTTAGCCCTTCTGAAAAGTGATGTGAGTATAATATGTATTGCCAATTACTTCTAGACTACATATTGCCACTGATAATAGCAATGACTAATAATGGAACACCCCAAAGAATTATGAACCTCTTTTACTATGTCCTCCCATCACCCAATCAATTAATAATTTATTAAGCTTTGACCTGCTTTTCAAACTGGGTATTTTACTGGAATGGTTCCTTGATTATATTGTACAGATATAAAAGCAAGAACGGTGCTATTATATTGTAATTCTAAATTGTAATAAAAAATGTGCAAGTTTGCCAATCAAGTACTCGTTTGCCTAAGTTAAGAAAGATTTTGATTTACCTAATTATGACACATTTGTTCTTTTATTTATTAAAACTATATGGGGTGCTTTGTTCCATGCCATGATGTTAGGCATTAATCTAGCACAATGGATTACAAGATTCGAGCTTCTTTTATATTTTGGTGTTTGATTGGCTAGCATACACTTGTAAAATATGTTTTAAGCACTTTTGATCCAAGCACAGGACAAAGGATGCTTTTATTCTGGGTAACAATTTTTCATTTCTTGTTCCCTCAGCAAAACCTCACCCCTCAAAAGACAACCGAGAAGAATGAAGAAGTTGAAATTACAGCAATCTCACATACATTAATAAATGTTTTTGTATTAATCAACCGCTATCCATACAGTTTTAATATATAAAGCACTATTACAAGAAATGTGAAGTTAGATACAGAGTGATCATAAGCACTTATAGTAATTAACTTTTCAAAACAATTGTTGTACAATTTCTTGACTTCAAAGTTCGAAATCCAATTTCACCCAAGAGTATGATGTCATAATCACGCCCACTCATAAGCAAAACTTATATTAAACTTTTATTCTAACTTGTTCACGTCCTATAAGATGAAGAGCTCTCTCAATAAATGATCCAAATTCCAAGTACCAAATAAACAGCTTATCCAAAATCATCAAGACATAAACACATATTCTTCAATTAACAAACGATGCAAAATCAGTGTTCGCATTTACCGACTGTTATTCGCTAATTCGTATAAGAGTAACATCTAATCACCGATCACAAGCTAGAAGACAGAACAGTATATATTTTAAAAACAAAAAATGCGTACAATATCACCAAACACCAAAACAAACCTAGAAATGAAAAAATCACAGAAATAAATAAATAAATAAATAATCACTAAAAATTCAGAGAACTGACGAGCTAAAAAACCCTCCAATTAAAATAACAAAAAAAAAACACAGTCAGATCCACAAGCAAATAACCACTTACAACTCCAGTGGGAAAATAGGTAGTCAATGTGAACTTCTGGTCGCTGTTGAAATCCTTATACAGCAGATCTGAATCCACCAGAAAATACATCAAAAACCAATAGTAAATTTAACCTAAACCGCGAACAAAAACGCAATATCCGCCATTAACACAAGAAATGTGAACCATTAGCATACCTCGAGCTCTCTTTCCAATATCGGTGTAGAGACCTGGACCTTTGCCGATGATATCTTCGCCAACAATCTACAAAACTCCAAATCGCAGAAGGAAGATCGCGAAGACAGGAAAGTCGCCGCAACGATAAGAAATGAATCGCAGCCAAGGGCAGGATCCGCGGTGGCTCTTGATAGTTAGACCATCTCCAACCGACGATATTTTCCTAAAAAAACGTCTCGAACCCATCCAACCCACCGTGCAGATTTCAGCCGGTGCAATTTTTTTTTTTATTTTAATATAATTATCTATTTATTTATATAATTATTTACTTTCTTTTTAATATTATTTATTTATTTATATAGTTATCTATTTTTTATATTTATTTAATTTTTAAATTTTTAAATATCATGGATAATATATATTTTTATTTTGTTTGTATTTTTTATTTTATTTATTTTATTTTAAGCTTATATTTTATATATTTTATTTTATTTTATTTTTGTTATTTTTAATTTTATTATTTTTTATTATAATTTTGTAATTAATATTTATAGGAAATTATTTATTTATTTAATACTTTATCTATTCGTTTTCAAAGTTTACATTTTATTAAATACTCTATTTTTTTCACAAATACTCTTATTTTACATTACATCATTATTTTTACACAAAAAAGTAAGAGCAAAAATATCATTACATTACTTTTAACTGCTCACTATAATTAAAATACTATTATTTCTTAAACACCGCCCCAAAAGTAAATGTAACCCTTGTAAATGGATGGAGAGAGTATTTATTAAAATTTATAATTAATTGATTATGGTAAAATAATTATAAATTATTTATATTAAATTTAAAATATTATAATATTTATAAATAAAAAATAACATTAATTATAAAAAATATATAACATTAAATAAAAGATAAATTTAAGAATACAATATAAAATTATGAGTACAATATTATTTAAAATTACTTAAATAAATTTAAAAAATATAATATTGAATTAAACATGCAAAATATTAAATTTTATTTGTAGTTTTAAAAATTAATATTTAAAATATTAATTAAAAATATTATTATAATTTAAATGTATAAAATAATAAAATATTAAATTTTATTTGTAATTTTAAAAATTATATAAAATAAAATATAAAGAGAATATTTTTTAACTTTAAAAAATAGAGGGTATAGTTGAATAAGAGACTTGCAAAAAATAGAGGCTATGGTTGGAGATGGGTTACTGTAGCAGACCCTGCAAAAATAGAGAAATATATTGTAGACCTGAAAAAATAGAGTTATGGGTCGGAGATGGATTTACAGCGAAAATCGGAGCCGTTGATGGGAGGCCGTTATCTAAGGACCGTTCATTTCTTTATTGGGATGTGGAATAGAGTTCAACGTGAGGGATTTATGATACACGTGGCAACTGTATGCTCAACGAAAATGAGGTGTAATGTTTATTATTTCAATCCGACCGAATCTGCTGGTATTTTAATTTTAATTTTTTTTAATTATTAGTTTGTGTAATTTTAAGATTTATATTAGAAAGATATTTAAAATATTAAATCAAATACTTATTTTAAATTTTACTTTTTTTTCATCCCCTTAAAATATTATTTTTTGTTTGGCACAATACGACATGCTACTTCAAGTACATAATTTGTTTCTATTTTCTATTTTAGTCCGTCTACATAATTTGTCTTTTTTTAAAAAATATATATATATACACTTTAATCATATTTTATATTTTATAATTTTTTAAATTTTAATTAAATTATTTATTGATTTTAATCTTGCTCTATAATTATTTTTACTATACAATAATTACTTTTACCTATATACCTATATTATATGGACAGAGGGGGTATTTTCACAGTAATATACCTATATTATATGGGAGATGGGGTATTTTTTTTTTATCACAGTAAAAATAATAACTACTAATATCAATTTTTTTTTATTTTTTACATGAGTTATAACTAAATCATTATGCAAATAATTAATTTATACATAAAATATAAGTGATAAAAAATATTAAAATTTTTTACATATTTATATTAATCAATCAAATATTATTATTTTTTAATTTACTATAAAAATTCAATTCAACCATAAAAGATAGAGTATATCATTGTATTTTCTAAAAGCTAAGGGTGTGTTTTCTTTGTCTTCTAAAGGATTTTTTTTTTTTTTTTTTTTACATGTATAAGAATTTGTTTAAATAATATACAATAACAATTTGTATTTTTTATAAAAAAAAATATATTAAAAAATTTTGAGTAAAAAACCACACCCTAAATTTATTGATAAACCATATGGGTTTGTTTGAATTTGAATTTTAATCAAATAATTAATTTATACATAGAATGTAAGCGACAAAAATATCAAATTATTTTACATATTTATATTAATCAATCAAGTCTTATTATTTTTAATGTAATAAGAAAAAATTCCAATTAGCATTGTAATTAATCTCATATCTAGAGCTATAAAATAAAAAAAATATTTACAAATTTGACATGATGCGACTCGTTTGAGTTGTTAAAAGCTCGTTCATTAAGTTAAACGAATCGAATACGAACATAAATTTTGGCTTGTTATGTTCACGAACGAAGTTGAACATACTTGTGAACGTTCAACCGTATTTATTAAAAATTTAATTCAATATTTTTATATTTAATTCTATTTTTAAAGTTAGTATATATATATATCAACTATAGTCAATTTTCTCCGAATCAGTAAAAGCTACATGTATCTTCAGCATGCACTATCAAAGGTGACTTGAAAGTGCACACTTTGATGGGGCTTTGGAGTAGATGCATTGGCAAGTCCACGGAGGAGTCTCAGGAGTGACTGAACCAGCAGTAAAAGTTTGGGAGGCAAAAATATTAATTTTTTTTATCATTTTTTTTATCGATTCAATATATTTTTTTTTAATTCATACCACATCTAGGCAAAAAAAAATTAAAAAAAATTCAACAAAACTACATAAAATTCAATATTTTTTATTATAAAAAAATAAAACTTAAAGACTAGAAATATAAATTAACAAACAAATAAAATTTTTATAATTTTTTATATTATTAAAAAAAAAATAGGAGGGACAAATTACTTAAAAAAATATATATTTTACTATTTTTTATACTAAAAAATAGATATATTTGGAGAACTGGGGCGTCAGTTGACCCCTTAGCTCCCATGTAGATCCGCCTCTGGTCTCAGGAAATGAGTGGCATCATCCAGATAATACTTGGCCTTGCTCGGCTACTGTGTAAAGCACCTTCTAAGCAATTGATCCCTTTGTCACAACCTACACAGGGCCGTATCGGACTTTTTCTTAGGTCATGAGTAAAAATAAATTATAAACCCTATAAATATATGATTAAAATGTATTTTTAATAATATTGCTTGATTACACAAGAGGTTGAACGTGACCGTCTGGACAATATCAATTAGGTAGGTTTTAATTGAGTCAAATAAATAAAAAATGAAAAATAAAAAATAAAAACAATAGAAAATTGAGGAAGAAAAACATTTAGGAAGTCAGAATTGTAGTGTTGATATGATAAAATAAGATTGCAAGTCTATGGTAATGCAATTAATTCCCCATGAAAAGCTAATCAAACAATGCAAGAATCAATGTGTTGAATTTTTGTCTACATATTGTATGAGATACTCTAGAAGATGAAAATTTGTATTTGTTGGTAGTGAGTGAAAATTGTGTTTTCTCTTTAATCTTTTGTTTTTCATACTCCTTGTGTTTAAGAAGATTTTGAGCGTCTGTAGCAACTTGAAGTAAATTTGAAGAAAGATTTTTTCCAACTGAAAAAAAAAAAAAAAAAAAAATCAACACATGAACACACTTACTCTCAGTTAAACAAATAGTCTGCTAGTATCTTAACTGTACGTTTGTTCTCTAGTTTATTGTAGATTGATGTCCAAATAGGGTTGTGGGAGATGATAGTTGGTGGTTGATATTTATTGAATTATAAAGTCCATTGTATACATGACGATAGGTTTATTAGATATTTCTTTGATTGAAATCTTTTAAATTTAAGTTGTTATACCAAGCTGAATATCAAATTTTTTGTCTTGTTTATTTTCTATTCAAACTTGGCCTACCATAGGTAACTGTCTTTTACACAAACAAGCATCGTAACCACGGAACAACAACGTGTTTCCAGAAGTGCAAATTCGCGGTTTCCTCTGTCCACTGCCAATTTATTTTCCTATTTCGGGCATAATTTTCCATCAATTTGCTCAGATTCTCTAAATGTTCATTCATTATAGACATCACTTGTTGCTGAATGGAATCTACCATCCCCACATAAGGCAATGACCTTGTCAAACACACTAACTATTTCACGATTCAACTATATTGTTATTTATTATTTTTATATGAGTCTCTAGAAACAAAGAGTTCAACCAACCTTCATGTTGAGATTGTGTGATGAAGTTTTGGGCATATGACATGTCCTCCAAAACAAATGTTATATACTGTTCAAAATTCTTTTTAAAGAGGGAATATCTAACTTTGTTGAAAACTGATGCCTATTATTTCTTGGTGTACATCATATATCTATACATAATCTACAAGTAATGTTAGTATTACGTTGCTAGCTTTAGGTATGTTGACAACATATGACTAAATTCTATGTACACTTAAGTCCAAAAGTTGTCCACTAGGTGCCGGAAATAATTCATATAATGGTCTATCCGAAAAAAATATGTACTATTTTCAATCAATGACCTTAATATGAAGAACATACCTTAAGTTCTTGAGAACTACTTTTAATTTTCACCATTTTCGGCAGATACCGTTGTGACAATAAGATATAAACATAATTAAAAAGTACAATATAAAAATAAGAAAGATCCATTGATTATTCATCAAAATATACTTTAATAATACCAAGATATGTGTAAACAAAACCAATATACAATTCCACAAAATACTGGTATAAAATTATTAAATATACAGGTACGACACCAGAAACAAAGTTTTCTTAATGAACTCCCAAGCAAACTTGCATAAGATCACACCAGCACTCACCAAAATTTTCCCTCTATACATAACATTTTAACAAAGAATGATTTTGAATGTGAAATAACAATCATCACAATCCTAATATGGTAATAGGACAACAATGGAAAAAAAATAATAAAAATTAGGCAAAGTGGCAAGAGACATAAATTTGTCAAACATAGCTACTATTAAAGTAAACGGCTATAATTTTCTTGAAGTTATTCGTCCGGTATTTGAATATTTTTTGGGTCATGATACAATAATTTTTCAACAACCTTAAGTACTTCTACATTTTTTAAGGTTTGGCCCTCTATGACAATGCATCTTTATATTGAAATAAGATTGATCCTTTCATCGACTATTATAACTCCGATAATTTCATCTTCGTCTAACTATGTACTGTATATTTCATCTCTACGACAAGAAAATAATTACAAATAAGAGATTATACTATTCAATCAACATATTTTCAATATATATATATATATATCTTTTACAAAATACTATATCAAATTGTTATTTAAAATTATTTTTAAACAAAAACCCTTGCAATTAATTTTCTATAAAAATATATTTACTCTATTATGTTAACTTCTATTATTTAAATAAAAATTTAAAATTAAATTTCAACTAAGTGTTAGGCTCTGTTAACTTATAAAATATATATTTCTATTTTAAATTGTCCATTTATAAAATAATTATTTTTTTTAATAACTATAGAACTTTAAAAAAACAAAAATTAAAAATTAATACTCCTATTTCATAATCATATTATTGACCTTGTTCTTAATTTAAAATTAATTTGAAATGAAACATTGACTTGAAATTCTTTTTAAAGTAAAATTTTGTAAAAAAATAATGTATTTTTTAATTGAAAATAATGTCGAGCTAATAATGTTGACTTTAGTTTTAGATTATAAAAAACTATAATTTTCTTTTTTTAAGAAAATAAAAATAAAATTATTTTTATATTATTTTTAACTACTTATTATAATTAAAATATTATTATTTTTTAAAATCTAGGAAAAATAAATATATACTTTAAAAATAAATAGAAAGAGTATCTATTCCATTATAATTCTCAATAAAATATAAGTATTATTTTATTTAAAAAAATAAAATTAATATTTTATTTTAAATCAATTTCAAAGTCAAACAAACAAATTTGTTTAATTTTGTATTTATTTTTAGGTTTTAGTAAAATAATTGTTAGAACTAAATATTTGTACACAAATTTTATTTTAAACAAAAAAATTAAGGGGAATAGAAAAGTGTAAATAAATAGTACTCCCTTCGTCCCAGATATTATGTCTGGATTGTCGTTTCTGTCCGTTTCACATACACTATCACTTTTTTTTTTAAAAAATATTATACACTTTAATCTCATTATAAATTTTTTAATTTTATTTTTTAAATTTTAATTAAATTAATTAATTATCTTAACGTTAATTTATAATTATTTATATTATAAAATAAATTACATCGTGTGTATAGTGTAGGACGGTATCTGGGACGGACTAAAGAATAATGAAGTCAGAAAGATGTAATGTAAGAAAAAGAGAATGAGAGCAAGAATTCCTCTCGCCCACACCCAAAAACACCAAATCCAAAAATAAATTAATACCTTCTTTACTTACTATTATTAATCAACGAATGCCCTAAATTTCCACAATCTTCCACACCAATCAATTTTACAGCCAATCATCATCATCATCTTCTTCTTCTTCTTCAACCTCTCTCTCTCTCTATATATATATATACATACATACATACACACACATCGTTGAATTTGAATTCAATTGTTCTTGACATTGGAATTGCCATATTGGCAATGGAGAGCGAGAGAGGATCCCTCCCTCCTAATCCCATTTTAAACTCTAATCCTCTCTCTGCCTCTCTTCTGCCTTTCTTGGTTTTCCATTAATGGTGGTGGCTAATATATAATATATATATATATCTGCATCTGTCTCTCTCTCTCTCCTCCCTTTTGTTTCTCTCTCATTATTAATTAGGCCCACCACCCAATCCAATCCATCATCACAGCACAGCACAGCAAAGCACGTTACACGCCAAACCCACCCCCCCACCCCCCCAAAGTTTCTTTCCGATTACCCAACCCATCCTCCATTACCCTTCTTCTTCTTCTGGTTTCTTGCAGACGAGGAAGAAGGAGAAGGACAGCAGAAGCTTTCCTAAAAGGAAGAAAAAGAGGGAAACAAAAGTCACTACTGATTAAGATATAGATACAGATAGATACAGATTACAGTTACCATTACCACCACCGCCAAGCCAAGAAACCTCAAGATTCCATTCCAAGCTTTCCCATTTCCCCCAATTGCTCACCCCGCCATTAATCAATCGATCCCACCTCCAGAGAGAGATTCCAAACCCTAACCAGACAGATTCCAATCTGCGCCGATGAAGCACATTGCCGACGCCGGAGCCCCGTCGACGCCGGGAAAGTTCAAGATCGAGAAATCTCCCTACACCAAACTCCGCCAGCACTCCTCCTTAGCGAAGCTCACTTTCTGGTCCTTCGTCTTCCTCGGCCTCATCTTCGTCTTCTTCTACAGATCGCCCACTTCCCCCACTCCCCCACCCTCAGATCTCTCCAGAAGATCCCTCCGAACCAGCTCCTACGACAGCCCTAATTTCGAGAAACGCGTCAAAGCCTCCGCCAAAATCCGCTCCCGAAATGGCATCTCCGTCCTCGTCACCGGCGCCGCCGGCTTCGTCGGCACCCACGTCTCCGCCGCCCTCAAGCGCCGCGGCGACGGCGTCGTCGGCCTCGACAATTTCAACGATTACTACGACCCCTCTCTCAAAAGAGCCCGACAAGCCCTTCTCGAGCGCTCCGGCGTCTACCTCGTCGAAGGCGACATCAACGATTCGCCATTGCTGAAAAGGCTGTTCGCCATTGTTACCTTCACCCACGTCATGCATCTTGCAGCTCAGGCCGGCGTCCGGTACGCCATGGAAAATCCGAGCTCCTACGTTCACAGCAACATCGCCGGCCTCGTCAATCTTCTCGAAGTCTGCAAAAGCTCCAATCCTCAGCCATCCATTGTCTGGGCATCCAGCAGCTCTGTATACGGATTGAATTCAAAAGTTCCATTTTCAGAGAGGGACAGGACCGATCAGCCGGCGAGCTTATACGCCGCCACAAAGAAGGCCGGAGAAGAAATCGCCCACACATACAATCACATCCACGGCCTATCGATCACGGGACTGCGATTCTTCACCGTCTACGGGCCGTGGGGGAGGCCGGACATGGCCTACTTCTTCTTCACCAAGGATATATTAAAGGGCAAGTCAATTCCGATCTTCGAAGCTCCTAACCATGGCACCGTGGCTAGGGATTTCACCTACATTGATGATATTGTGAAAGGATGTTTAGCTGCATTGGATACTGCCGAGAAGAGCACTGGCAGCGGCGGGAAGAAGAAGGGGCCGGCGCAATTACGCGTATATAATCTTGGAAACACATCCCCCGTGCCTGTTTCGGATCTTGTGAGCATTTTGGAGAGATTGCTAAAGGTGAAGGCGAAGAGGATGGTTATGAAGATGCCGAGGAATGGCGACGTGCAGTTTACGCACGCCAACATAAGTTTAGCTCAGAGGGAGCTCGGGTATAAGCCCACGACGGATTTACAGACGGGGCTGAAGAAATTTGTTCGGTGGTACCTCAATTACTACGGAGACAAGAAGAGCGTGCAGTGAAAACGGATTTTCCGGATTGGGGTAGCACCATTCTATTCTTTTGCCATTTTGATTCGTATGATTTGTTTTTTTTTTATATATATAACCTATCTATAATCTTGTTTCACATATCTTGGCGATGTGATCGTATAAGGATGAAGAAGTGTTCCTATGGTTGTTGGGATTGTTTTTTCTCTTCTGCATCGATAGGGGGAGATGAAAAGGACAAAACCCGACGGCTTCTGTTCGTCTGTGGGGATGTATTTGTTGTAGTCTTATCATTTAGAACTCATGCTTGATAGAACAATTTTACTGATTGATGGACTTGTATGATCCGAATCCGGTTCCAATAAAATAGAACACAATACAGTGGCTGTTACGTATTATTTTAATGGCGTGTGTCTTGTAGATTCGTTGAATAAAGCATGCTATCCTTTGCTGCCTATTTTGCGCCTTTTGAAAAAGCATATTTGATTGTATAAATTTCCTCGTTGTTGTTTGTGCTCTGGTTAATGTAGTTTTTAACTGTTTGCTGTTTGCTACGCCATTCTTTGTGCTCGTGAGGTTATTTAATTTTCAGGTTGTTGATAATGTTTGGAATCGTTTACTTTCTAAGTTTGGTAAACGAATCTTTTATTTTGTTTTGTGTAAGTCAACGTTTATTACGACAGTAAGTTCTTTAGCTGAATATGGATATGATTCGTGTATTAAATTTGTCTTTATTTCCTGTTTTTGTTTATGACAAGTGGATGGATGATCGTGGCCATTGTTTAATTATGATTTGGTAAAGTGATGGTTTGATCCTTTCGATATCTACACATTAATTGCAGTTTACATAGAAACAAATATATATATATATATATCTGTTATGGTTGGAGGCTGATGAGCTAAGACTAAGTACCCTTTGTCTGTTTTCCGATTTTAGTGTTCTGTACGGAATTAAAAACGGAATGCAGTGTCGTTTAATTTGATCGTGTAATCAAGTGATGCAATAGAATGTTGGGAGTGATCTGTTATGATGCTTGAAGGTTTGTTTATGTGTAAATCCTTTCTATATTTGATTTTTTTTTTTTTGTTGAATACGATGTTTTGATGTATTCCTATTTTTGTGTTTTGATTAAGAAAGTTTGTCGATGAGTTAAACTATTTTCCTCGGCTATCTGCACCTGTAGACAGTAAATTTTTTTTTACCGCAACTAAAAGGAGGGTTTCAAATAGGGTCGGTAAGGATCATGTTAGTCGTGTTATTTATCATTAATTTTTTGAGTTTTGATGGAATGCGAGAAAGTGAAATGTTTGTGACTGTCTTAGATTAGTTTGCAAGTTAATTTTTGTTTACTGTCTGCGCCGATTTCATTGCATTGGTCGAACTAAGGTGTCTAGTTTCAGTCATATGTAGAGTAGCAATAAAACAAGAGTTTATTAGTGTAGTTTCCTTGTTATTTTTCGATAATGAAATCTGAGCTGTCTTTTGAATGTTGTTTGAACTAAGTTACATACACTTTGAATGAAATGTTTTATCCCAAGTAAGTATACGACGAATGCACTGCTTATTGAGACGATCTTTTTCCATTTTAGGGTGAACATACATACGGTATATTAAGACGATCTTTTTTCCATTTTGATGGTTTGTGTGTATGCGATTCATTCCCGTTTAAGATTATTCCGAACTCTTATGTATTGATGATGTGTTTTCTATATTGACGGCTGTTAGGGTTAAGATTTTGTGTCGATTTGGCCAAGTTAGTACGCTAATTTAAAGTAATTAGCATTTTATCATAAGTCAAACTAACATATGTTGTTTTAAGTTGTGCTGCGTGGGTTATATATTGTGTTATCCTGAAATCATAATAATATATTGTTGTGTGGATTATATGTTATGTTGTACTTCCTCCGTCCATAGTGTAATGACATTTTTGCCCTTGTTTTTTAGTGTAAAAGTAACGATGTGATGTAAACTAAGGTATTTATGGAAAAAAAAAATAAAGTATTTAATGAAATATTTACTTTATAATTGAACGTCCCAAAATATAAATATGTATACTTTCTAGCTGGACGGAGAAAGTATAATTTACTTATTGTGCTGAGATCAAAATATATTGTACATGTACTTATATAATGTGCTATCAAAATGTGTATTATATATTATATTAAGATGTATTGTCGGGTATTGTGTTATTTCCTTTATAAACATGTGCTGATTGAGTCCAATCAACAACACGGTGCTGATAACCAAAACATTCTTGTATTTGTTAGTTTGATTGATATTCAATTGTTGTTACGCATTGCATAGCTTTTGCGCGCGAAATGATGATTGCCCGTCAAATTATCCGACCTATCATCATCATCATCGGCACCGCCATCGTTGTTCATTTTTGTATTAACTTGGTGCAACTATTGCAACATTTCATCAGAAAAAATATTGTTTGGTGACTTAGGAGAGGTATATGAAAGGTATTTTTAGGTGCACACGTGAATTGATTATTGCTTGAAGAAAGGTGCAATAAAATACAATGAATGGGGATTGATTTGCACTTTAGATCTCATTATTTCGTGTAGGAAATGTTTTGTTGTCAACTTATGAAGTGGGCATTTGTAAACTATCACACAACCCTCAGGTAAACCAAACCATCTCTTTTGACATCAACAAAGTGTCCATGACAATAACAGCTAATGAAAGAGATTTTCTTGCATTGGCAGTAGTAGTCTAGAATTCCTACAACATGTGTTCCATTTCGACGCCGTATTTTACTCTATACAGAAAATCGAAAACTTGAATGAATTAATATCGCAACTGCAGACTTACAACAAGCGCAGGCGCGGGATTTAGAAATCGTATTTTGTTCTCCCGCTCCTCAAAATTAAGCAGAGCATGTCCGCGAGGTTGGATGAAGACGTGAAAAAGTTCCAAGATTCGAGCATGAGTCGCTTCCTCGATCCTTTGAAATGAACCACCTGAAAAGATCATTTCAATGAACATTTAACATCGATTCTGCGTGGCAAAATCTTGTGCAACAATTAGAGCTGTTAAACAAATCGAGTAGCTCGCGAGCCAAGCTCGATTCGACTCGTTAACAGCTCGACTCGGCTCATTTATAGAGATAAACGAGCCGAGTTCGAGCTCGAAAATAATTTTTATTATAAGTAGCTCAATTGAGCTCGATAATATATGTATATTACTTATATATTAATATAATATATATATATAGTTTTTTATATCAAAATTTATATTTATTATTAAAATTTAAATATTTTATTATAAAAAATTATGAATAAAATTAAATACATTTAATTTATATATTAAAAAATATATAGAATATATATAAAATTCAAGGAGAGCTCGAGTTCGAACTTGAATTTGAGCCTAACAAGCCGAGCTTGAGCTACTATTTTGGTTCGAATTCTTAACGAGTCGAGCCGAGCTGAGCCTGTACCATTAAGAAGTTCGGGTCGAGCGAGCCTGTACCATTAAGAAGTTCGAGTCGAGCTCGAACAACCGATACTTGCTCGAGCTCGTTTAACAACTCTAGCAACAATGTAACATTGGCGGGTTTTGAAAATTTCCTGTAGTTTTTTCGACTGGTTTTTACCTTTACGTCCAACGGCATCCCATGAAATTGACCTGCACCCTCAGGTGGTGTCCAATTGTAGAGCGAGCATGGCAAGAAAAGCACAGACGCACCGTGGATCATGTCTAGAAAGGCCTCTCGTCTTGAAAACCTTCGGGCATTGAAGTTGGGGTTAGATCTTACGACACTTGCAAGAGCTAATTGATCACCAAGCATTCGTGACGCTTTCATGAACTTTGTCGTGTAAATTTTCAGAACATGTTCTAAGAAAGCTTTCCCCCTGCGTAAAAATGAAATATATTATACAGTATATATTTGGCATTGGATCAGTTATATTTTAGAGTGACAAAACAAAGAAGAAAAGTAATGCACCTTTGAATTCCCTCAACTGTGCCCCGTACAGCAATAAATCCAGAATTTAGAGGTTGCTCTTTATTGTTCCTGAAAGTGAGCGCGAGGTGAAAATTGGGATGCTTTGTGAATATTTGTCTGAGATCATCTACAACTGCTATGTCCAAGTCTGTAAAAATGAAATGAGTGACTTGTTCTTGCTTCTTAATAAGCTTCTGAAGCCTTGCGTCTAGGAATGACTGCATAAACAATGTAAACTGTGTGAATAAGACGTAAGAGTTTCGAAGACAAACCAAAGAAGAATGCCCTTAAAGGTCGGTAACTCAGCTTTTAAAACAATATACCACAATTCGAGACTGTCCTATGGAGACCTTTACAAGAACAGGAAGATACATGGTGGTTTAAGCAAAATAGTACAATGCAGAAATTGAGAGAATCCACGGAAAAGGAAAAGAAAGAGGTCTTATAACTCGCCATCTCCCTCAACAAATCTGGTAGTTAAAGGGTTAACGATACAAGTCTTACAATGCCAGCTAAGTGAGCATATATAATAGAGTAACAACAAAGACAGGATCCAGACACTGCACACATAATGCAAAAGTGTTAATAAATGTTACTTAAATCAGGTTTTAAGTTTCTTCCTTAAACATTCGACCAACTATGGGATAAATTGAGAATAAATGCTAGCATTTTGCAATAGAATATTAATTCTAAGTTTCTAACATACACACACATAGACACAAGGATATGCGCACAGAAGTTCGATAAAATTCAATTCAAATAAATAAACAGGTGGTGCCATTTCCAACAGTGCATTGTGCTCTTACAATGTAAGACCTGATTCTTTGAAGCATCAACTTTTCTCGGGAATATTCACCTTGTATTGGTTGTATGGTGACCATCTCTCTCCGAAGTGGAAGGTCAGATGCTGGATCTGTAAGAACTATGACACTGCTTTGAGGCATGACCTCCTACAATAAGCAGCTAAAGATCAATTCATATTATATACGAATTATTGGGTCGCAATTCAACATATGGTGGGAAGAGTGTAAATAGTTCCAATATAAACATCGCTGGCAGCAGCTGATCCAATATAATATGAGCATAGTTTTGTTAATGAGCATCCGATAAACATATCAGCTCCATAATCTTCTTATTAATAGCATGTAAGCATTGCTGGAAATGTTTAGTGGATACAGTGAACATAAAACTTCAGCTGCAACAAATTCATAAATCTCAGAAACACTCTTGGGTGTGTTTGTTTGTGGGTTTTAGTTTTTGGGTTTGGATTTTTAAATAGTAAAAAATTGAATTTGAATAGTTGTTTGATGTGATATAAATAGAGGTTGATGTGATATTTTGAATGTAAAATAAATTTGTAGTATAATATAAAAAAAGGAAAATTAATTGTTTGATTTGATAGTTCTGGAGGAAAAATAGAATTTGAATAGTAAAAACATGTGCTAAAACTCACAAAAGAACACAACCTTTAAGTTTTAAGCTATCGAAACTTAGAATTCAAAAGAGTTGTTGATTTTTAAATCTAAAATGAGGTTTTGTACATATACGAAAATCAATGGTGCAATTACCCAGAAGTGAATAAAAAAAAAAAAAAGTTATACCAAAGACAGGCACATCTAACCCGATTGACTGCACAATGATGCAAGATAATGCTATAACAAAAGATACCTGAATGAAATTCATGAAAACATTCAAAATGGCCATTGATCTCTCAACTTTGTTGTAAGACTTGTTCCCAACAGAAACCAAATCATCTGGTCTATTCCCAGCAGTAGAGTTGTAGGTAGCAAAAACAGTGACGAAAGCAACATTCTCCACAGAGTGAGAATTGTTAAGAAAGGTCCCAAAATGTGTCTTGTTAAGGGCTTTTGTTCCTGCAAACATTTTAGAAAATTAGCTCACAAGTTGTCAATAAAACCTTTTTCAAATGTTCTACCAAAATATAAATATAAGCTTTGCAGAAAATGATGTGGAATTCAGCTTCTTGCAAAGCAGCAATATATTTGTCAAAAACAAAATCAGCATACAAGTTCTTTGCAACTTTTAGTCAACAGGAAAAACAACAAAACATTACCTTATCCCAAACTCAAAAAGAAAAAAAATCGTTAATGTATGTAAGCTGCATTAGACAAGTGCCAATAGATATCACGAAGAGAGTAAATCTAAAAAACCTTGGCACTGCAAACGATCAGGGAGTCCTTCCCCGGCAGCTGGTCCAAGAACAAGATGATCGAATTTCTTAGGCTTTTCTTTATGCTCACCCCCCAAACTCTTCTCTTGCTGGAACTCCTGGACTGAAACAGTCATCCATTTCTCTATATAATTTTTCTTATTAACCAAAAACTGGTGATTACATTCGAAGAATAGCATAGCAGAAATTAGGAGTGTGAATATTTGTGCTGTGGAGGGATAAACCACAAGATTAAATACCTGAGATCAAGTGAGTAACTAAGATTACTACTGGAAGACACAAAAACAACCGATTCCATCCAACGCATATTCTCTTTGCCATCATAATAATGCTTCCTCAAATAGCTTTCTGTTGTCTAATTGCACCAAATCCAATTTCTATACACTAACTCAAGTCATTTTTTCTGCAATAAGAACGCCAAACAAATTAAACGTCGTTTATCCACAAACCAGTAGGACTATGGAAAATTACCACGCAATCGCTTACATTCTCACACATGTATCACTCAATACACCCAATTTTCTTACAAAATCAAGTCACGCAACACTTAAAAAGGAAACTTCGAGTTCGAAAGTTTTAGCGGTGGATGGATTCAACTATGTCAAAAGTGTTTTGCACTTCATCGGAAACCATTAACGCAGAATATAATCCATACCTCAATCAATCGCCATTGCTGAAGCTCCCGAACCAGATCCTCTCGTCGAATTCTTCGATCGCCCGTTTCCCAACTTCCGATTTAGATACATTTTGGGCCTTCAATTGGGCCCTAACGTGAATGATGCTTATTTTTAATCAGGCCCATTGACGCATTCTAACTCAAAAGCCCATTTATGGAGAATAGGGCTCTACGTAAATAAAATTTTTAAAAGATAGTGAAACCGAAATATTTTAAAGATGAAGGATTTATTTGAAATATGAGTTACACTATAAATACCATTCACTTCCATTCGTCCGCCTATTCGGTCTAGGGTTTATCTTCCTTTGCAGGGGCGAGGTCCGCCGCAGCCGCCGTTGCACTCCGCTGGTCTTTGAACAGCTGCCGCCATGGGTCGTATGCACAGCCGAGGGTTTGTCCTTCTTCGATTTTAATCTATGTTGTATCTTTTTATGAGATTTTATCTGGATTTTGAATCTGTAATATTGGGAATTGCAGTAAGGGTATTTCAGCATCTGCACTTCCGTACAAGAGGACGCCGCCGAGTTGGCTTAAGACCTCGTCTCAGGACGTATGTGTCTGTTACACTTTTTTTTTTTTTTTTTTTCAAATCGATTTTTACTTAGGATGAACATTGCATGCAGATTCTGCTTTACCGCTTGTGTGTGTGACTTTTATTCAAGTGTGTAAGATGGATCTTTGTTCAGGTTCTTCTGTGATTTATTATTTGATTTTTTTTTTTTTTCTTCCCTTGATCTGCTTCTGATGTTTGGTTTATGTTATTTAAAAATTTGGAAGTCTTGGACGTTTTATCTAAAAGTTCCCATATACTTGTGTATGTCTTCGGCTAACCAGTAGAGTTCCTTTCTCAGTTTTGTGAAATGGGGAAAAGACAATGCTTTTTGTATTAAGTTAATATTAATTAGTAAATAAACATTTTGACTTCGCTACCTTATTGGAATCCACATGAGAAGAGTTTGATAAAAACCTGCACAGGATGATGTGTGATCAAGCAATTGAATTATGAGTTTCTTTTTTAGAGCATCTTTAATTTGGACTTTGCTCACTCATGTTTTCAATACCCATTTTGTGCTATGAAATCTACATAAAAAAAAAAAAAAAAAAAAAAAAAAAAAAAAAAACACTTTCTGCCCAAAAATATCATTTTAACATAACTTTGATAGAAAATGTCCATCCCAACAAGTTCAAATTCGAAACAGTGCAAACCGCCAAAAACATCCCAGAACACAAGTAAACACACGCTTGCTTTGAATAAATATAAATTAATATCACTTTGATGCGCATACTCTGAAATTGTGTGTGAGGAACTTAGCACCAGATTTGGTGCTATTCGCTTTTTATATTTTAATCATGTAGGAGAACTTGTCATTTGGGATTATCTTGTTCTTAATTGGAACAAGTTGTATTCATTATTAGTGTTCATAACTTATCTTTCGACATTTGATTAAGTTCTGATGAAATCTGTTCACCCAAAATCAGGTTGAGGACAATATCTGTAAGTTTGCTAAGAAGGGTTTGACACCATCACAAATTGGTGTTATTCTTCGTGATTCTCATGGAATTGCTCAAGTCAAGAGTGTTACTGGCAGCAAGATTTTAAGGATTCTTAAGGCTCATGGTATGTTTCAGCCAATTGGCTATATGTTATTGTTGATGCCTAGGGCATCTAACATTAATTTAATATCTTCCCTGTCCAGGACTTGCTCCCGAGATACCTGAGGATTTATACCACCTTATTAAGAAAGCTGTTGCCATCCGTAAACATCTTGAGAGGAACAGAAAGGATAAGGATTCCAAGTTCAGGCTTATCCTTGTTGAGAGTAGAATTCACAGGCTTGCTCGCTACTATAAGAAGACTAAGAAGCTTCCACCAGTCTGGAAATAGTAAGCTTACATTTCGATTTCTCCAAAACTTATATAATGAATTCTAATTCAACTAAGCCCAAATGAATAATTTTGTGCAGAATATATATTTTTTTCCATCAATCAATTGTTTACTACTTGTGAGCTATGATAGGAAATTCAGCTCATAATAGTCTCATCCGAAGTAGAATGATCCGTTTTTCTATGTTCTCTTCATTTTTTGGTTTTATGATATACTAAACTACAATTTTGTTTCTTTTGCAGTGAATCTACGACTGCCAGCACCCTTGTGGCTTAAATGGTATTTGCGGATGTATGGCAGAAACTTGGATTGGGAAATGGGAGCAATGAGCTGAAACAGTTTGTAGTAATTCAGATGCATTTGGTACTTGAATGTTTTCCCAGACATTGTTTTTCAATGTTATGCTGCTACCTATGCTTTTCCTTCGCATCTTATCTTATTTGATATTTGACTTGTTTGATCCATTTTTGTTTTGGAGAACACTTATCAGCTTTTCTATGTTATGTATCTTTAAATTAACCATCTTTATCTCATACAAATTTGCGCAGTATTATAATTTACTTTAAAATTTTGCAAGCTTTAAGTGCTGGTGCATCATCAGGACAGTTTGTCTTGCTGTTTGGCTAGGACACGAATGCATCGTGACTAGGGGTGGGCATTTGGGTCGGATAGTTTGGGTTCCGATTGGGTTTGGTTATATTGGTTTGGTGTTTTTTTTTTTTTTCTTCTGAAAATTGTCAGAAAACTTCAAATGTTTTGGGTACCCGATGAAAAAATTGTGTCAACTTACTCAATTTTTAATTATAAAAGTAATATATTATATGTAATAAAAAAAATATATATTATAGTTTAGGTTAATTTTTTTTATTTTATATTATTTCTTTCATTCCGTAACTATGTATTTTTGTTTTGTACGAAGTTTTAAAAATATTAGTATTATACTTGGATGTAGTAAGAATAAAATAGAAATGACTAAAATAATTTTATTAGTATTATGTGATATAAAATAATGATATTTGTATAATATATTGTAAATTGCAAGGATATTTAGAATGTTAGAAATGGGACGGAGGGAGCATTTGTTTTTATTGTAGTGTTTTCTAGCACAATTCGTAATACTCATGACAACATTATTGCTTGGAAGCAATATAGTTACACTTATGATTGATAGTTGGATGGACAAAAGAAAGACGGCATTTGATCAATTTTTTTAACTAGTCCAAAATTTTAATTGATCTATCAAGTTAGACTCAAGTTGTTTTCATTACTTCAAACTAATATTGAAAATATTGAGAAAAAAATGTGGTCCAAGTAGTAATTGATAATGAAGCTAATTTCAAAGCAACATGTAGATTATTGGAGAATCGTGTACTTACTAATTTTTTTTGTTCTTATGTTTGAGGATATTGGGAAGTTGTCTGTCTTTCGGACAAAGATTTACAATGCAAAGTGAGTTGCTACCTACATTTATAAACACACGGGGACGGGGCTTTTTAGCGTAATTAAGGAGAAAACAAATGATAGAGATCTCAAGAAGCTTGGACCTACTCGGGTTGAATTACTTCAAAGTTGGCTAGCTAACACAGATATTGAAATTTAGCAACAAATTTTTATTATTGGAAATCTTTATCTATTTTCTTTTAGATTGATGTGTTGTGATAAAAATATCTCAGCCACTTATGATTGTTTTAATGCTACTTGATGAAGATGAGAAACCAAGAATATTAAAGCTTGTTGTAGCAATGAACAAGGTTAAAGAAAAAATAAAACTATTTTTTTTTTAAGATAAATTAACTTTGTTAAGTGATGTTATGCATATTATGGATAACCTCTAAGAGGAAATATTGATAAGACATCGGTCCATCCATCAACAACAATAATCCAAGGTCCCAAAAGAACCTAGACCTCGACTAATAGAGCGTGAACCGAAGACATTTGATGTTTGAGATGATGTTGGTTAAAGACTTATGGGTAGCATTTTGATATTTTCCATTATGGAAATTAAGTTTTTGATAGTACTATATTTCATGTTATAATTTTCACAAATAAGACTTTAAAGTTCAATATAAATTTGATCATTTAATACTATACACTCTATATATATATATATAGTTTTTTATACATAATACACCATGTTCGCCATTATATATAATCTATGAAGATATTTACACATACCTTGAAAAGTGCATTTGAAGGGCAGGCTTCATTCATAATACATCTGATCTTGCATGTTTCAAGCAGCCTGCATTAGAAAATAGTTAGCATTACTATATACTAAATCCCTGATGGTTAATTTTGCCACTTAAATTATAAAATTCAGAGTACCAAATGCTTGAGGGCTTTTGATCTAGTCAGTCAATGTTAACTGTGACAATCTTCTTGGATCTTCCTGTGGAAGATTGTGGTATCAAATCCTTGTGAATTTCCTGCCCTTGTTTCCTGTTTGAATGCTCTATGAATGGATCTTGAAAGTAGCTCCCCATGGCTACCAATTCCCTGTTCATCTTTCCAATGTCTCCTGTCAAGACGACGAGTTTATAAATTTGAACAAAATAAGGCCCTAAAAAGACCATAATTGATTGAAGTATTTCATGGATCCAATTATCGTTTAGTTATTTGTAGTGCCGTAGTCGAAAGACATCAGCTTACTGGGATTCAGCTTGTCATTCCAACCATGTAAATGCCTATCAGCGTCGTGTTTCCATGCTTTTTCGAAGCCCAAAAGCTCGTCTGAGATATGTACAAGAATCAGAAATTTTCGAAGGGATAGGAAATCTTTTACACCATTTGTGATGTTTCATTCAGCACGACTAACCTTCATTTATGTTGTGCAGAATCTGTCTTGTGTCCACCTTACCGTCTGAATTAAGCTTTCTCAAAACAGAATGCCCCTACCAGAACAGAATGTCAACAATCAAGTCGATCATTTAGATTTAAACAACCTAGTTATTATGAGAAAACACAGACAAATTCGAACCTTTCCATTGATTCCTCTTGAAATTTGATGTGCTGCTTGACCAGTCGATCGATCAGCATGTTTAGTCTCTTCCAGAGTCACCTAAATGATCAAACAAGCATGTTATCAGATTTAAACAACCACACAGCACGATATGCAAATCCGAAGATTATTAAGTAACCAAACCCCATTAGTCGTCACACGAGAGGATGTTGCTGTGTAGTAAGCTCCATTAATGCCACCATAAGTCACTCTTGTGAAGCTGACGCTCCGCGTATCCTTCTCTTCCTTTCCACGGTTCGCTGCTCTGTGCAATATGTCCTTCGAATTTCTCTCATTCCTCCCATCATCTAACAGATCATGAACTATTAGTGCAGAAGAAACTAATATACAAAAATCCTATTTCCAGATGTCAGAAACATGATAACCTAATCTACCTTCATCTTGATCCTCCGGAAGCTCAACAATGGGGTTTTTATTCGACCGCGCAGCATGACTCTCTTCTCGCCCTTCCTTATCTTCCAATGTTCCCTCACCATCACTGTCCACCTCCTCAATTATTGGACCCTTCGATCTGCTGTTTTGCGACAACTTATCAGGTTCACTCGAGGCATTCGATTCAGATCCGAATAACTTTCTCAATGTCCGTTTGAAGAAAGACTCATTGGAGGTATCCTCCTCCCCTCTGAGCATGCTCCGAAGAAAACCAAAACCACTTCCAGAAGAATTGGAATCTTCTTTAACTCCATTGTTGTCTTTCTTCATCTTTGCTTGCAATTCTTCTGAACATTTTTGAATTAATGCAACATTAGCTTTAAGCTACTGTTAATAAACGAAAAGTACATAGTTGATTCCTAATCTTCTAACCTGACCTACGCATTCATAACATGAGATTTAGACACCACCATACTACGGAAATCAGCTCCTTCCTAAAAAGTACACAAAAATTATTAAAGCCTAATATTGATCGGTATCGTGCAAACGATACGATCACCCTTACGTTCTTCGATTCTACAGGATGCCTAAACCACGATCTTATACCATATTGCTCTAGAAATGTCAAAGTATCCTCAATCATCTTTGAGAATCCAGCGATATCGATACTTAGAATTATACTTGAACAATTTTGTTCCGCGGATCAATGATCATCTACTTATAAACAATTAAGGAAACCAGCGAAACGATGCAAAAAGGCAAACAATAGAATAAACTTCGGCGACGCAATTCTGGAAAAAGCTCATCCTACCGGAAACCAAAGCGCGAATGCGAATAATTGCAGAAAGCGTGGAATGAAATTGCTTACCTACGTACCTACGGGCGGGTTCGGAGGTTGGGGGAGAAACTCTGGCCTGAGGAGGGAGGGCAGTTTGCGGGAAGGCGGTGGAATTCAATTAGAGACAGCAGAGAGAAAGGCTGAATCTGAAGCGTACACGTGGCATCATATTATTCATCGGCTATTGACTCGAACTTCATAATCGTAATCGACCTCTGGAGTCTGGATGGTTCTCGGCGCTTCTCAATTTTATTTATTTATATTACTGTACTACCTAAAAAATTGAAGCCTTTTATTAAAATAGATAGATTAATTATTTAATAATTAAAGAAGTTTAAAATATAATTATATTATATTTTAATAAAATATATATACAATTTAAATATAATACAAATAAATGAAAAAATATATTTATTTATTATTATCATAAATTAATTATATAAAAATAAAAAATTTTAAAAATATTTATAATCAAAGAAAGATAAAAATGAAAAATTATATTTTAGAAAAATTAATTATGAGCTATGTGTTTATTTAGAGATTTTTTTTTATTATATTATACTAAAAGTCAATTTTATCTTCAAATTCAAATTCAAATTTTTACTATTCAAATCTCAAAGTCGCAGGTAACCACACCCGAAATATACCGAAACAACGTTAGGGTCAAATTCACAAATAAGAATTATTATAAAGAGAGAGAAGAAGAAGATTATAGTACATTATAATACAGTGGGTTAAAAAGCATGCATACATTCATTCATTCATCTACAACACATTTTTGCAACTCAATACAACAACCAACCTCACCTCAACTCACCATTTCTGTATTATCATCTATAAGAACCTTTTCTATGATCGGCCGAGATCTGTGATTTTTCGATGGTTAGATCAGGTGGGGTGGGTGGAGCAAATGCTAATTCCACGCGAAAAATAGACAAGAGAGGCTGCTGCTGCTGCTGCTGCTGTATTGATGTAGTCATGATCTCTGTCCGTCTTAGAATTCCTGAGTGTCGAGGTCGGGTTTTGATGGATATTCGAGGCCCTGGAGGGCAGGGATGCGTCGCAAGTCTTCTTCTGTATATGCCGGGATAAACCAGTACCTCTTGTCCGTCCCAAATACCTATCACAGAATAATGTATGTTTGGTTTGCGACGAAAACTTTGATGAATTGTGTCAATTATTGTTTGATTTACCTGTTCAAAGTTTCGCTTTCTTCCAAGATCGTAGCGCCATTTTGGAGTGGTTTTCTTCTCATAAGCCTAAGAACAAAACATTGTAATATATATACATATATGGAATCACATTAATTTGGCGCTACCTCATTTTTGTCGTAAGAGAAAAAAGAAACACTAGCTGGGAGATTAGTTCAGAAATAGAATTCAACCTTAACTACGTGGCATTTATATCTCCAACAAAACACTCGTGGTAACCGACAAATCTAACAGAAAATGCATGTCAAAACTTCGACAGAACATTTACCATATGTGGAAAATGATGCCGATACTTAAAATGGTGGGGCTACACGACATCAACGTTCAAAAATAGATAATGGAATGAGAAATAATACCTCGATTGTTGTGGTGTTGGCAGTCACCAACGATATGTGCATAATAAGGAACCCCATCACGCTCAAAGCGAACGCCAAATTTAGAACTGAAAAAATAAGAAAGAAGGTGAACAAAGAAACAAGAAGAATCGAGAAGGAGAAGTATAGGAACAGACACGTGTATACTACCAAAGGCAAGAAATGTAGTCGCAAGAGTTCCCGGAGTTCCAGGGATCTCTCCATCACCAAAGAATGCAATAAATTGAGGCAATAGTGATAATGTAACAACAAAAGTTTCGAGGAAGGTGTAGAACTGCATGATGACAAAACTTAGTTAAATGGGCTTCGATGCAATTGGTTAATCAAGAAATGTAAATGTACAAATGTTGAGAATTTATATCCCGGATCTTTTAATTTATCGAACAATACCTCGTAGACAAATATACAATCTAATTAGTAGCGGAAGCAATTAAGTCGAATAAACCCAAATTAAACTAAAAACAAAATCGAGATGAAATTAAACAAACTAAATGCAAAACTGGAAAACACTCGAATCCCTCCCGGCTTCTCTTCTCTCCCTCTCCTCTCAAATCGGTTTTTCTCATTGAAACTAACTCTCTTTTTGGTTTGGCTTAGGGCTTTGGATATATGGGTTTGGGCTTTGGGATAAAATGGTTGGGCCGAGCTACGGAGTAGACCAACTAATTATTTCGAGGGGCTAACTGGATTAGGCCTCAAACGACCAAAATTCCCAAGAAATATGTTAAAAATCTTCAAAAATTTAAAAGTAAGAAACATGGAAAATGAAAACTTAATAAGTGAGTTAATTATTATCGTAACAATGTTGACACCGTAAGAGAACAACATATTCGAGAGCTATAAAATCGTAAGACACTATCTATAGCTGGAATTATCTAAATAAGAAGAAAACCATACGTTATAAAACACTAATTAGCAACAAAAAAAAAAAATCAACACAAACAACGACCAGGCAATATGATTCTCAGTAACGTAGAACACAATACCAGGAAGAGAAGGAAGTACTTATAGTTCAATGCACCGACACAATTGACAACCCAAACACAGTGATGGTCCATCTTCAGTATGCACCTCCCACCTAAAAAGGAAAAACAATTTTACATAAGATAACGCTTCGACAAAAACAACAGCACAGTTCAAAAATTTCTCAGAACTTATTTCAGCAACAAAAACTCACAAACAGAGCAGTGATGGCAACGTGGCGGCTTGAACTGATTGCACTTTCTACAAAAACGAACTGCACCATTGTCCGAATCAACCGGAAATTCTGATCCAGTTAATGGCACAGCATCTGCTCTTTCTTCATCCATTTCCGGTCTCCAATTTGGAGGCACACTACCTGGGTCGGTGAAGACAACCGAAAAATAACTCCATAATAGCATCACTAACTGCAAAGGAGTCGGGGCAAGTTACATATTCGTTTTCGTGCACAAAATACACTGCACACCATTGTCCCAAGTTCTAGAAGGAAAACCAGATTGCAGAATTGAACCAAGCTATGGATTTACTATGTGCCGGCAACGAAGCTCCATTTTGAAATTGAACAGCAGATGAACCACAGGATCATCAGTTGCACTCAATAATCTTATATAATCAAACTGAGCATCGATCAAACTAATTTTCATCCTAATGAAGAGATTGACTTCAGTAAGAAAGCTAATCATACTTCTCAGTTCCTATCAATGAAGACATTTCCTAAATTTCACAAACGAATTCAAACTTGAAGAGTTAAGCAAGCATCCAAACGATTCACTTAGGGCATCCAAAGTTAATAGCCAAAAAAACCGAGCAGATTATCTTAAAAAAACCTAAATTAACTCCAGGAGAACTGTAAATTCTATACATTGATTCCCCAAAATTGCGCAAGCATACAAATCGGATCAAACTTACACAAGCATTCAGATAAAATCAACACAGAAAAATTACCAGACAATGAAAGACGACCAAAACGAGGAAGGCGATGAGCAAATCGAGGCCGCCGGCCGCCAATTGAGGACCATAAGTGGTAATCACCACGGCATAATAGGAAACGCCGACGACGCCAAGCACGAGCAGGATCATGATCGAGCCAAGCCCCCTCAAAGCCGTGCAAAACTTGAACACATTCCACGCCATCACCGTTCCAGATCTGTACATACTTCAACCAAAAATTCAAAATTCAAAGTCCACGGCACAAAAATTACGAGAAATTCCCCAAATTCAAAACCCCCGGAGCTTCCACTAAACACACGTCAACTGTGGGGCATGACAAGATTAGGGTTTATGGATTTTCCCTGAAGTGATATATCCGCTATCGTATCAACACAGCTATGGCGGAATCCATAACCGAAAGACAGGGAAAATAAACAAATATAGGTAACAGTGGTCGAGTTTATACTTTCTGGTTTTTTTATTTTTTATTTTTAATTAATAATCTATTTATCCAATAATTTAATAATTTTAAATTAATATAAAATAAATACAATTGTTTTAATTGTAATTCTAAATTCAAAAGTCGACTTGCTTCTAGAATTCGCGACCAACTCTGTAAGTTTGATCTTTTTTTTTATATATATATATATAGTTAATATATGACATTTATATTATTTTTATTTAAAAAAAAAATTAGTTATATGATATTTTAAACAAAATAGGTATTAATATAATTTTTAAAACATATTTTTATAAATAAATATTTTTATTAATTTAATTAAAATTTTAAAAAAATACTATATATTATAAAATTTAATTAAAATTAATAATAATTATTTGTAAATAAAATAAACAAATTGTGTAGAATAGAAATAGAAAATAGGAATAAAATAACAAAGAGAATAAAATGTTAATTAATAATACAAATAACACAATGAGTGTTTTCTTTTTTATCAAAAAAAGTGTACATATTTTTATATATATTCATTATTTTTATATTAGTTATATGAATTTTTATATTTTAAATAAACAAAAAAATATTTTTTCAAATTATTTTAACACACCCAGTATTGTTTTACTAATAAATTAGTATGAATATATTTTGGGTAAACTGTTTTTTTATTCCATAACTGGACCACTTTATCATTTTAGTCTCGTAAGTGGAGCTTGTCGCAAACTAGTCCCATAAGTGAAAAAATTTCGCTGTTTTAGTTCTTCGGCGCCGGAAACGCCCACGTGGCTCGCCGGAGGTGACGTGTCTGCCAGGTGTCCCGCCAGGTCAGCGACACTTGGCGGACACGTGGATTTTTTTTTTTCATTTTTTTTAATTTTTTAATTTTTTTTAATTGTAATAAATAAAAAAAATCAAAAAAATACAAATAAAATTTAAAATAAATTAAAAATAAGTTTTTAAAAAAAATGAAAAAATAAAAATAAAAAATCCACGTGTCCGCCAGGTCAGCGACACCTGATTGACACGTCACCTCCGGCGAGCCACGCGGGGATCTTCGGCGCCGGAGGACTAAAACAGCGAAAATTCTTCACTTATGAGACTAGTTTGCGACAAGCTCCACTTACGTGACTAAAATGACAAGGGGGTCCAGTTATTGAACTAAAAATAGAGTTTACCCTGTATCTTTTTATAAATTTTAAATAAAGTTTTGTCAGGTAAGTTTCTATCTATCCCCTCTCGAATCCACATATGACTTCATTTTCTTTTTGGAACTGACCACGGAAGATGATATTTTTTCATTTTTGACAAGTTTATCAATATTAAACATACTTAACAAATATAATTCAATTTAATATAAATTTCTAACATCTTACACGTATACCCACTCAAAACCTTTTTATTTTTATATCTCTCTTCAATTAACAAATATTTTTATATACCTTTAAAACTCCTCATTTTTTATAAAACTAATTTATGATAATGATAAATAAATAAATATATTTTTTTATTCATTTGTATTGTATAAAATTTTATTGTCTACAAAATAATATTCATATTGCATATATTTTATTAAAATATAATTGTAAAAATATTTAAAATACCAATAACAATACACATATAAAAGAATAATAAAATATTATCTTAACTTATTATTAATAACTTAATAACCTATGTTACCTTGTGTCCCTAAAGGCTCCATCTTCCGTGGGTGGGCGAGGGAGTGTGTTTGTTTGGGAGATTGGATTTACTTTCCGCTATTCATCCCATTTTTTTCCCCCAAAAACATCAAATCAAACACTTATTTTTTATTTTTTATATTATACTAAAAATCAATTTTACATTCAAAATATCACATCGAACACTTATTTATATCACATCATATAACTATTTAAATTCAAAAAAATTTCTATTCAAATCCCAACTCAAAATCCAAACCCCCAAACAAACACACCCTAAAGTGGTTCCTAGTGGAGCCCACATTTTAAGCCCACTTTAGCGTTCAAGCCCATCGAGTTTTTTTCTCTGCGTCAAATCTCATAACATCAATTTAAGAACTTGTCAAGATTTTTTTATTTTTTTATTTTTTTATTTTTCACATTGTAGAATTATTTGTCAAAGTTTCTATCCTCCATTATGCTGCTAACATCGGTAAATTTATTATAATATATAACACAAAAGTTCATTTAAAAAATATATTGTCCCATAACAAAGTATCTATTTTTTTCATTTTAATCCGTCCTATAACAAAGTATCTATTTTCTTTTTTAGTAACTGCACTATCTACCTTAACATTACAAATACCCTTACAACTTACAAAATATTACATAAATGTCATTACCTTTATATCACATATACTAATAAAGTTATTTTAGTCTTTTCTACTTTATTCCTAATATATTCAATATAATACTAATATTTTTAAAACTACGTGCAAAAAGCAAATAGATATTTAATTTTGGGACGGAGGGAGTATTAATTATACAGTGTTGATATAAGATTTTGTTTGATTGTATGAAAATCCGCAAAAAATGCAAACAATATTATTATTATTATTATAAGAATTTTTTTTTCTTTTTTTTTTTACCAATGTTTAAAATTGTTTATCTTGTTTTGATTATTTTCTATAAATATATATATATATATATTTTTTCAATATGCATAACCTTCAAATTTGAATTTTCAATTGATTTATTAGTTATTAAATCTAATTTCTTACTTTTGAAATAATTTATCACTATATATACAGTAATGTTATTCATATCGTATTTAATTACAAACTTAACATCTCTATAGAAATTGAAAATGACATTCAAAAGAACAACCAGAAAATATTCATTAATGGATTGATCTCTTCTCAACTTTATATTTTGAATTAGTTTTAAAAATTCATCTATATTTTCATCTACATTCTTCTTAGTGTCTAATTTAAATTAAAAAATAAAAATAAAAATTATTTTTTATTAGAAAACTTACATCATTTTCTAAGCACAGTGTCAAGTAAATGCAACAGTGTTAAAATCGTGTTTCTACAATGTCTACAAAAATATAAAATTTTTCATAATGGTTTTGCTGGAAGTTAAAATTTGTTCTTCACGTTGATGTTTGATAATTGAAAAAAAATATATATTTTTTCGAATAGATATTCAGAACTTCTAAAATCCATCTCCATTGTATTTCTCAAAGCCCACCATAGATATTTTCCCCAATACCTAGTGGTCAACTTTCGCACTCAGGTATGTGTAGAATATATTTTTCATTTATATTATAATATGCGCAAAAATATAATTACATTTCGTATAGGTAATATAAAGATATCCGGTGCACAATAAGAAATGATGGACGTTCATTTTCAACAAAGCCGATTATGCCCCCCTACAGAAGAATTTTGAACGACATATTTAACGTCTGTTGCAGAAGCCATGTCACTCCTCCGAAATTTCATTATACAATGCAGCTCTAGTATTGGGCGAATTCTCTATTATAATGGACTCATTGTGGGATAATAATAACAATATAGTTGAGTCGTAGAATAATTAGATGCGCTCAACAAGGTCATTATTTTTTTCGAGATGCTTGATTTCATCTAGCAGTAAGTGATGTCTTTGATCTCGTTATGGTTGTTTACGACACAATCAACGAAGTTGTAATGAGACTTTATTGTAGGTATTGCTAGTGTTTTCTCGTGATTGTAATTTTTTTTTTTTTTTTTTTGAAAAATTGTACATTGAATTTAGATCTGTATACAAGACCACTATATAATTATTTGAAAATTAGTATTAACTATATGATACTGGATGTACACAACTATTATATTGGGGTACGTATTAGTCTAAATTAATTCTTTCAAAGTAAAATTAAGGGTATATGAATTCACAACGAAAGTACGTTGCAAGTTATTGTAAACAAGGTTTCTTAAGTATCTATCCATATTTTTTTATTGATTGTTAATGGATCAAACAACTATGAGTTGATTATATCACACATTTCTTGTTGGAAGTTAGCGTGCATCAACGGATACTTCTGAAACGACCTATGAGATCACTTATCCATGTATTCAAGGGTGGATGAGAATATTACTTAGAATAGATATGACATAACATATAATGTGGTGAGCCGTAGTAATAGATATTCCAGAGTTACTGCATAACTGATGACATATAATGTTCTATGTATTGTGATTGTTTTACAAACATTTTTTAAAGTATGAGGAATGTCCAAGCAAAAAAAAAAAAAGTGTTAGAAGGTATATGGAGTAAATGTTACGCATGAGACACATTCGATTTTCCTATAATTTAAGGAACATATTAATCATTTATGCGTACATGTAAACCAATTATTGATTACATGGCCTATAGAATATTGCATTCGTTTACCTGAATTTATATTGACAAAAATTACTTTGATTAATATAGGTATTTAAATTTATATGAAATTTTTACAATTGCTTTAAGAGTATGAAGTTATGTGTCAGAGGTATATTGAGTGTGACCCAAGGTATACCTATCTAATAAACAAGTTTTATCGTTGCGAATAAAAGTATTTATATTGTTATGCGGGTATCAATTTGATAAATATGGTGTTTTAAGCGATTATCGAAAATTTTTAATTGATTATGACTAAATGAGACGGTTATGGGTTTAATAAATCATTGTTATTTCATCGAATATTGGTGTTTATTAATCAATACTACTGAAACAATTACTGAAATCATTTGTTCATGTATTCAAGGGTAGATGAAAATGTTACATAAGATAAATTTAACACAACATATCATATTGTGGATCATGGTAAGATAAAATAGACACATGAACAACCAACAATATGATAAAGATATCAACAACTACTGTCCCGTAAGAGATGGCCTAGTGGTATGGGGGTTGGACTTTTGACTTTGAGAACCCCCGAATCCTCTTGACAATAAGGATTTAAATCCAAGTGCTCATTTATAGTAATATAATTATTTACAAAAATAAAATTTTATCATT